CCCTGGCTACTAAAAGTATTAGCATTTCTTTATCTAATAATCATTTCATTATATAATCATTATTAAAATAAATGTGTAACAGCACCGGTATTCCATAGAGGTAGGCCTATAGACCAACATTGTTAATCTATAGTATCAGTCTATAGTCTATAGCTACTTTGATATTCTTATTTATTATTAATTAGTTCATTTAATAATTCTTATCACTGATCCCATAAAATGAATATGATCAATTTAAATTGAAAATATGGAAATGTGTTTTTAAGCATTGATTCATACAAATACATTATTTAATGTTTACAGGAGAAAGAGAATGCTAGCAGTTAATCAACACAGGTGGTATCACTTTATGCTTCTAATCACAACACATGTTTTCAATGTTAACTCAGTTTTGACAAAGAGTCGAGATGCTGCTTCAAACACAGTTGGAGATATTTTAGAATCCATGCATAATGTTGTTTCAAATATACACGATTATATTGGGGACAAAGGAGGCTGCATCTTTAAATGCCCCAATGGTAAATTATGAAATTTCATTTCATTTAAAATTATCTAGTCAAATCACAAATTTTGACATGTTTTTAGCTTTTATCTTTAAATAAATATAAATCAATTCTTAAAATCAGTCTTAAACTGAACTATTAGTAAATTTATATATATAGCCCATGCCCTATTCTAGGGGGTTGGCAATCTTTTGGTCTAAGTATACATGCCAAAGTAAGACTTCTAATTCATTCAGTGTGCCAACAACTTACCTGTATAAGTTTACCATTTAAGACATATTTTTAAGTCATTTATTATTATTTTTTGGTCTTCTGCATGCAATGAAAATTTTTATGTGTTCCAAGTGTGACACGCATGGCATAGGTTGCCATCCCCTGCCTTGGAGTATAAAAAATTTTTCATTTAAAGCAAAGAATTCTTATTTTCAATAGAACTAATCTTATATGATCTCAAAATTTATTTATTTTTTTTTTTTTTTAATAGGTGTAAAGCCCCAAAAAAATCCAGACCATACAAAATCATCCAATGGGTGTGGAGCTTTTGGTTTCAAAGTAAGATAAAAATTTAAATATTGCACCAGTAAATTTTGCCACATTTAATGTTCTGTGATAAAATTATGTAATTGGATCCAAAAGAAGCCTGTCTGTTAGTTGCTGGGAACATACTTATTTGTAATCTGATAAAAGTTAATCTTTTTGTCCTAATTGTCAAATAAAAACTACTCTCCCATGCAAAAGTCACATCATTTTTGTGTTCACGTCTTTTAGTCAAATTATTACTTGTATGTAAATAATTTCACAGCTAATGACCAGACTCTAAATCCACACGTTTTTTTCAGTTAGACTCTCATATCCAAATTAAAGATGTGACCAACTGTTGTGATGATCATGATTTTTGTTATGACACTTGCAATGAGTCAAAAGAGAGTTGCGATAAATCTTTCAAAAAATGTTTAACAAAAGTATGTAAAAGAATTGAGAAGCATGTCTCCAATGTTGGTTATGAAGGTAAGGTTTATTAGCATCCTATACGATAGGGAACATAATTATAAATTATTAATATCTTGAAACAGTTCACTTGTTTTTTTTAAATCCTTAAATTGCTAAATATTCTGATAAACTTTTAAAAATTAAAAATTTAATGAATATAAATGTAATTTAGAAATAATTAACAATGACAAACCTCACAAAACAATCATTGTGAACAAGCCTGGGATTCTAACATGACCATTGCTATGCAGCATTCATGTGTGGATTTAAAAATCAATACATACATTTTGCATGGCTTTAATCCATAATAGCCATCTGCTATTTTGTGTGTTGGTGTGTGTTCTCGGTCTGAAATAGATTAAAATGAACCCTGAAATTTGAATCACTTTTAAGGAGATATTTTTTTGTTGGTGCAATCCAATCCAAGAATAAATATATGTTATTCATTTACAGGTTGCTTGAGCACTGCTGATTTGATCTATGCAGCCACTGTTGCTCTCGGCTGTAAGCCTTACAAAGATGCCCAAGCCAAAGCATGTATTTGCAAGAGAAAAAAGATAGAATTATAGCATTGAGTGAATTTTTAGTAAATGAAGAAATATTAATATAATTTTTAAAATGAAATGAGTGGAAAAATTTAGAAATGCTAGTTAGATACAAAAGTTTGTAGAAAGATTTAATGAAAGGATTATGTTAATTTGAGAATGGTATAAGATAATTATTAATTTCTTGTTGATTCTCATCATCACCTACCCCAAATAATAAATTTTTGTTTTTTTCCCCCCCCCCCCCCCCCAAAAAAAATATTTTTAGGTCTATTTTTTAATTTGTTTTTTAATTCTCCATTTTTTTTATGCATCAGCTAAATTAATATATATCATTTTGTTCAGATTGCCATATGTTAATGAAGAGCAGAACCATTTCTAAGTGTGACATATTAATACTAGATACCACAATGATTGAAAACCACATTGACCTCAGGACATATTTTCCATACTTCCCATTCTCTTACATATCTCATGTCAATGAATTACAACAGAGGCAACAACCCAAATGACTTCAAGGGCCACTTTGATTGCATGACAATTCTTTGCGGGCACCGTGTCATTAAAATTAATAAATAAACCAATACCACATAAATGATGTACGCAAGAATGTATTTATTTTTTAACGCACATAGTTACTAGATGAGAACACATCTGCTCATGCAATAAAACACATAAAAATTGTATAGCTCTTTAATATATTTTATAGTGCACATTGTCAATTAAAACATGCCAACATTGCCTCTAAATGACAGGGTGGGAAGTGGAAATCGTGGACATCCACCAAAGAGCGCCCAGCAAATTGGGGGAGGGGCCCTCTCCCAAAATTTTCTTTGATTGGGTGAAAATGCAGGCATGCAAATACCTGAATTTAGTTTTGCATCATTCTACACTTAATAAGAGAACAAGAAAAGAAATTTTAATGGAAACTTAGGTTTACTTTTGTAGCTGTGTTTATATAAATCCTTGAATTTTAGTAGTTATTAAAAAGTTTTATTTTTTAAATTTTTAATTAAGATTTTAGATTACTAGTTTGAATTTATTTTCATTTAAAACCCGTCCAAAAGAGGAACAGCTACACCCAAATGGTGCATACATCCCCAAAAATCTGCTTTATATATATATATATTAAATAAGCGTTTTTTTTCCAAGAATGAAAATACTCTCTAGTCAGGTGGACTGCAACGTGTTAATGAGTTGGGTTGCATGCTGCACGCTGGTTGGCCAGCACCAAATTTTAAAAAAAAAGTTATAAAATTATGAAATATTTTACATTGCTCATGTCAGGGAAGTGTAATGTTATGAATTCTATTATATACCTGATGTCAATGATTTATAATGTTACGAATACCACTACATTAAACTTTTAAACACATACTTGGTTCACTGGAGTCTCCTCTTTTAATTTATAATTTTAATATGAAAACATTATTTTACTAATTTATTCATGTCTTTTCCTATCAATAGTAATCTCATAATACCATAATCAAAAAAATTTAAACCATTGTACCAAAACCTATTAACTTCTGTCAGATTCTAATCTATTAATTTTATCAGATTTCAAGAGTCTATCAGATTCTATCAAATTCACACAGACTCTATTAGATTCTAAAATTTCAACCAGTCTCTATCAAATGCTATATGACTCTATCAAATTTAATTCAACTATTTAAAAAAAATAACATTATTTATAATAATTTCTATTATTTTTCTATCAGAATGTGTCAAATTATGAGCTACAATTCTACAATTACAATCATAGTCTATAAATTCTAAAATTTTTATCAGATTGTATCAATTTATATAATTTTCTTTCAGTCTATCAAAGTGTAACACATCTTCATGCTTATCAAATTTTTAAATTGTCAATCACATTCTATTTTAATTACTCCATTACTTTTTATAAAATTATATAAATTATTTTACATACATTGATGATTAAATTAATTTAATCATTTCTAATTCTATAAAATTTTATTTGTTAAGAATAAGATTCTTTCATATTCTAATTCTATGGGTAATAAGGGGAAAAACTGCAATCAGGTTAGCACAATATAAAATGAGTAAAACGGAGTAGGGTTAAACCTGAAAAAAGAAACGTAACAAAACAATGAACGTATCGGCAGAAAGCCTTCGTCAGCGAACGAAACAACAGAAAAAACGGTGTAAAAGTAAAAATAAGAAATAGCACTTAGCTTGGAAGTAATATCCGTGGGCCGCAAAAGAAATGGGACAGAAAGTTAGTGAGTGAGGGATTAAATAGGGAAGAGCAAAAGAAAAGAGGAGAAAAAAGTCCACTGCGATAGTTCAGGATGAGGAGGGGCGGAGCTCGGGTCAAGCTTTGAAAAGGGACATAACATTCATCCCAGCTGGCATCAAAGTGCCATAAGTAAGGATAAGCCTGTGTTCCAAATTCACCCGGCTAGGTGTGTTCGTGGTAGCCACGATCCCACTTATTGAAAAGTCCGTCTTGCACTGGTGGTCGCTACCATTGAAGTGTTTGGAGACGGGACACTGTTTATCTTGTGTAATGTTACTAACATTGTACACTGTCTGGTGACAGGTATTGATTCCAGCTTAATGTGGAAATACTTGGATGCTTTCATTTCTTAAACCTGTGTTGTGTGTAATACTTGGATGCTTTCATTTCTTACACCTGTGTTGTAATACTTGGATGCTTTCATTTATTATATCTGTGTTGTGTGTGAATACTTGGAGGTTTTCATTTCTTACCCTACCTGTGTTGTGTGTGAATACTTGGATGTTTTCATTTCTTACACCTGTGTAATACTTGGATGCTTTCATTTCTTAAACCTGTGTTGTGTGTAATACTTGGATGCTTTCATTTCTTACACCTGTGTTGTGTGTGAATAATTGTTTTGCTGTTTATTAAAGCTTGAATGACAGTAAAAATAAAATAGTGAACGAATAATGCTTTGCATAGGTTTGCACTTTATTATAGGCTCAAGTTATAGCAAAAATGTTTTTAGATATATATATAAATATATTTTATAAAGAGAGAGGGAGATAATGATTGAATGTGTAATAGTAATAATTTATTTTTATATATTTCAGTGTGCTGTTTAAAAGTTTTAACTACAAAAAGTGGTAAAAGTAAAAGTATCATTTGTGGAACACTATCTACATAATTTACAGGAGCATGGGTAAAAGTGTAAAATGAGAAATTTGGGAAATCTTATACAAGGAAATTTAGTATGACAAAAGAAAATCACATTTTCCTCACACTATCAATGTCACTTTAAGCTTTAATATGTATCACATTTCTAGATGAAAATGACTACATTCTTTAGGGTGACCCCTTTGTCTAGCTTGGGCGTTAACTGGTTTTCAAGGCCATCATTCCCTTTTAACCGAAACAGCAAGAGAAAGTTTAAAAGGGAAATTGGTATATGGCTAAAGTCTTTCTAAATTTATTATATGGGGGGGGGGGGGGGGGGGGGGAAAGGAAAAAAAAAAAGGGGGGGGGATCAGGCCCATTTTTAAAAAAATTTTTTACAAAAATTTAATTTTTCTGCCAAATATAACCATTTTGTTTTGATTAAAGATTGAAACAATTTCAGTGCTAAATTTGACACACAAAACAGAAAGTGATGAAAATAGAAACAGAGATAAAAGAATGTCTGCCAGACCTAATGAATGCCAGACCTACTTAATGCTACTAAGATAGAACTTGCAATGACAGTTTTAGTTTAAGAACAAATAGATACATTTTAAACAAAACTTTAAACTGAAATCATTCAAATATGGTAAGAGACAAGTATAAGGACAAAGTGATTGTCCTTTGACCTGAGTGATCATAGCCGGCAAAGCTCATTTCTACTTTTAGTAATATATTGGCATTACAAGAGTGTCATGAAATATTGCGGAGGTGACAACCGTAACTATCTTTGCTTTAGTACACAGTAATTCTTAGGCTGCAGTCAGAGTGACACAGTAATTCTTAGGCTGCGGTCAGAGTGACACAGTAATTCTTAGGCTGCGGTCAGAGTGACATGTACAAACATTTCTTTTCTCTAGTACAGTAATTCTTAGGCTGTAGTCAGAGTGCCATGTGCACACACTTGCAAACTGACCATCATTGGCACCCAAGATCTTCCTGATCAAAGAGAAAAGAAGTACAAGCATTTTGCCTAATCATTGTTTGACAACACTGTAAAACTCAGTTTTGACATGTCCACAATGATTTCACTTGTGCTGTATCAACTCTTTGCAAATCCTCTTCTTTGATTAAGAACTCTATAGAACCCATCTGGCCTTCAAGTTGCTTACAATGAGCCATCTGATCATTGAGTCAATAACGACATGAGATTGCCTCCATTTTTCCTTATCTCATATCACTGATCCAGTTCCTTGTTCAAGTCTTAGTTTCAGGCTGTATCCAACTGTATAACTGTATTCATTTCTAAACCAATGAACTATATTGAAAAGGTTAGAAAACAAAAATATTAAAAAATTTTCTACTCCAAATGACAGTTTCTCTTCTCATGTAAACCATCTGTATGAATTAAGTCCCAATTTCAATAGTCAGGTACAGTGGATCACATTTTACAACTAACTTTAAAAAAAAAAAATGGGATCTGGGGGAATGCTAAGGCCTTATATAAGGACCACCTCTGAACATTTGTATAAAAACTAGGTTGTTACAATGGTAAGATCACAGAAAGCTTCTTTAGTAAGGTTCCTAATGAATATTCAACAACCTTAAAAGTAAATTTGATTTTTAAAAAAAATATAAATATTCACACAAATACACAGGTCTATTCTTATGATATCGATGCTTGTGTTTTTTCAAAGAAAATATCTGTTATGATTCAAGCACTTCAACATTTGTTTTTGAACTCATCAATTAATCCATAAAAAATACAAATGTAAAAAAAATAAGAATCAACTAATATTAATAAATAAATGTTTGTTTTTTTTTTGTTTTTTTTTATAAATTGGATTTTCCCAAAAATTATTAAAAACCCACAAGAAATATGAAATAGTTTTTAAAAAAGTTTACATAAAATATTTTTAAAAACTTTTGAACGAAGTTGTTCAGAATTCAGAAGCATAAAATAAAAGATTTTTCAAAGCATATACAACTTGTAGTCGTTACAACAATAATTATAATTAGCTATTTATTTGCTGTGGGGGAACAAATCTTTGACTGTTCCATTAAAGGTTAGATATGGTATTGTCATGGTTTAAGGAAAACATTTACTACAAGCCAAAGGATACAAGGGAGGGAAAAAAAACGCAATTTTCACATGAGATCAATATGTAAATAACAAGGATACCATGATGAACAACAAATCACTCGGATTCATCCACACATACAACTCACCAACGACATCTTACCACAACACAAACTTGGTCAAGTAAAGAAGCTCTGGGAGACACCCAATGAAATCATAGACAAGGTGGCAGGGTAACAGAAAGAAATGTTCAGACTCAGCCTAGAGGGGTTCATCCTAACAATGGCTCTTTTACAAAGTCATTGAGTGTGGCTGCAAGACACATTAGTATGTTCAATGTAGATATTTTGAACTCTATTTTAAATGTTGGCAATAAGTTATGTCCTAATTTGTATGTATGTTTTTGGACAATTTATATTAAGCAATTCATGATGATGTATCACACATTACACTACAGAGCAAAAATAAAACGTGCAAGCATCATCTTTTGGTGCCAAAAATGAGAAGATAGAAGTACAATACTCAGCACGGAGACACACAAGAGCTCAGAGCACTGAAATATAACAAACCGAATTGACAAATCACTGACGTAAGCTCTTATAGACAGAAAATCAATCAAAATCCACAGGTAGTAATGTAGCTCTTATTCAGACATCAATCAAAATCCAAAAGGTAGAAACATAGCTCTTATACAGACATAAATCAAAATCCACAGGTAGTAACATAGAGCCATAATGATGTATCGACTGCAACTAAAGCATTTCTTTGCTACCGTATACAACATATGGCTAAATGTCAAATCAACTATGGATAACTTCATGCTAGTCACTGTAAAACTAGTGAACATTTTCATTTAGTGAACATTTTCATCAACATCATTCGATTCTTGGTGTTTGCAATGCCCTAACAATGTTTTAAGCTAGACATTTTTATATTCTCTTGTTAACTTTGTCTGTACTAAATACCCTTCATTTCTACTTATATTTTCTTGTTAACTTTGTCTGTACTAAATACACTTCATTTCTACTTATATTCTCTTGCTAACTTTGTCTGTACTAAATACCCTTCATTTCTACTTATATTCTCTTGTTAACTTTGTCTGTACTAAATACCCTTCATTTCTACTTATATTCTCTTGTTAACTTTGTCTGTACTAAATACCCTTCGTTTCTACTTATATTCTCTTGTTAACTTTGTCTGTACTAAATACCCTTCACTTCTACTTATATTTTCTTGTTAAATTTGTCTGTACTAAATACCCTTCATTTCTACTTATATTCTCTTGTTAACTTTGTCTATACTAAATACACTTCATTTCTACAATATTACTAACAATAATGGAATATAAAGTCAGTTGATATAAAGAAAGCTCAAAATAATTTCAAAATTTTACAAGCAACTCTATAGAGTTGATATCTAATACTCTCTAGAGTTGATATCTACTTATCTGTAGAACTGAAATTTAAAAACTGGCCACTCAAGTTAACTGGGGACTGGGTCAATTAAATTTTAATTTAAAAATTTATTTGAACTATTCCACTTTAAAAGAAAGAGACAACTCAAATTTTAGGCCAACTTTAATTTGGCTTAATCAAGACATTTGGTGAACATTCATCAGCGCAGGGGCGGGAATATAGGGGGGCCAAGGGCTCCCAAAGTGTGGGGAGGAGGGAATGGAAAGAGGAGGTAGAGTGAGCCACTCCCCAGAAACTTTTTTGATGCTTTTTGACAAGGCCTGAAATTAATTTCGCATAATTCTACTTAATTGGAAGGCACCATTAGAGATGCTACTAGTACAGGTACAATAGCAATTAGGTCATCTTAACCTGGTTGTGTTAAAACAAATCCTTAATTTTTGTTGTCATCGTATAGTACGTTGTTTTATAATAATTATAAATAAGAAGAGTTTTTTTTAAAAAGAGGTCACATTTGTCCAAAACTGAGTTATGGTTACTGTTGATCTCTTTAGCATTAATTAACAGATGACTACGTCAGATAAAGAGGAAAGGATTCAATGGTTTCTCCAGATTTTCTAAAAACTTGAAATTTTTACTACAAACAAGTTCTAGGTTATTTTAACTATTTATTTGTTTACACTACTTCATTAATAATTTAATTTCAAAAATATATTTCAGTCCAACAACGATGGCATAAATCATTAAGCCTGTACAAAAGAAAATTCAATGATAGGAACAGTCTACCCAATGGTGGATTATAACTAATTATTTGAAATGATTTTCAAGTAAAATAACAATGTTTTATGGCAGCGTCACATTTTTATTAATGCCGTTTCTGTTGATAGCTATTGCCTGATTTCTAAGAAACTCAATCCATTATCATGACCAATAACAGTACAGTTGAAAAGTAACAAGAATGACATTTTCTTACACTCCAACACTTTCCAAAAATAAAACTACTAAATGTGTAACAATGTTGATTTTACCATTGAAAATGTTTACCCTGTAGAGTTACCAATAAATTGTTTCTATAAAGATATTGATCAAGATGAAGTGCGCAAGACCCAGTCCCAACAATTGATTTAATAACGAGATCTAATAAATAGTGACAAAATCAGGAAATAATAATTCAAAACAAGAGAAGACTATCCAGCTACAACATCCCTTGCAAGTGACACATCATTTTGTCAGTTATTGAATCAAGCTACAACATCCCACTCAAGTGACACATCAAGACGTCAGTTATTGAATCAAGCGGATACATCCAACTCAAGTGACAGATCACAAATGAGTTACGGAATCAAGCTACAATATCCAACTCGTGGCCACTCTTACTAGTGCCACATCACGCAGTCAGTCACTGAATCAAGCTGCAATATCCAACTTGTGGCCACTCTTACTAGTGCCACATCACGCTGTCAGTTATTGAAAGAACATACAAAAGGCACACATAAAGTAAAACAAATTGTTTAAAAAACAAATGATTTCACCAAGATTATTGTAAAAAGATATTTTTAAAACAAAAAATAAAGATGAATGCAAGTGATCTTATTTGAAGGCATTTAGTGAATTTAATTATGCTCAAAATAAATTTTAGTAGCAAATAATTAATCCTAGAAGCACTCAGTTGATGATATTTGAAAAGAATATATTTTAATACCAATTTATTTTGTTTGCGTTTCATTGAGTATATGACTAAGTTGACTTAAATTAATTTAGAACTATGTGGAACAAAGTTATTCTTTTGTATTTAAAAAAATCAATTTTCCAGCCACTGAGCTGTGAGTCACTAGGACTTGGATGTCTTAAGAGAGCAGCATTCAATGATATTAAAACTGGATTATTTGTTTATACTCCCTGAAATCAGTTTCAATTAAATTTTTTTAAATCAGACCATTAAGAGTTGTGGGTGGCACAACTTAACTTGGTAATGTTTAAAGATTGATTCTCTGGCACCACATATTGGTGAAACATGTTTATTTCTATTTAACCTTGCACAGTCCATTGTGTGTGCAGTGCTGTCTGTCCTATCTTTAATTAGAGATTCAATGCCAAGCTTATGAGGACTGTTGAGAAAAAAAAACATTTTACAACAACACAAGCACGTTATCTTTTCTTAGGGTAACAGTAAAGCTTTTTTTTTTTTAAATAAAAAATAAAGGCAACATTTTTTATCTAAATGCAGCAGTTTTAAGTCTTAATGACATCATGAGTTGACAACTTAAGAAAGAGGAGACCATTAAAATTACATGCTTCAATCAGTTCACAGACTGGCACTGTCCTAAAGTCAGTTCACAGACTGCCACTGTCCTATCATCAGTTCACAGAATGACAGTCTTGTATTCTATAATTCATTAACTACTGTGGAATGCTGTTAGTCACTCAGGAACTTTTGGCTGACAATAGCCGACAGCATAAATCCACACCTGAACATTTTTCCATTGAATAAATAGTTGAAATAATGTACCAGTATTTGAGTATAATTGTAGAGTGTTTAAAGATAAGTATAAGTGTCAATATTTATGGAACTGACTGATTCTATTCATTGAGAGTTAAAGTAAAAGTTTCATTATTTATGGAAATGACAGATTCTATGAGATAGTCAAATAGGAGATTGGAACACAAAAATATGAAATACACATAGAAATAAAAAAGATTTTAAAAAATTTGTTTTAAATCCTATGAGAAAATGACTCATAATTTTAAAAGTTATTTTGAAGCTTAATAACTACCCCCCCTCCCCCCCCAATGATACATGGTTCACAAACAAGAAAAATGAGACTTGCATCTAGACACTAATTTTCCATACTAGTGGCAAGTTTACTATGACGCAGCATGATTTTTTACACAAAAAATTAATTAGCGGCACTGATTGTGCCAGTGGCGGATGGCCTTCACAGTGTTCCTCAACTTATCCCATGTTCACATGTCAAAAATTAAGTTTTGAAGCAAGTACTCATCAGCAGCAGTTGTAATATGAATGGCAGTAGAACAACAAGGTGCTGAACAATTGATCAAGTAATAAGAAGCAAAGCTGAGGTGCAGATGAAAAAAAGCATCCAGCATGAAAAACGTTTATTCAATCGAGCAAAATTCTCTAAGGAATTATTTGATGATATGATGGACAAACTGTGAACGTATCATCATTTGTACCTTTAATACTCTGTAAAATATGAGCACTTTCACTGAACTTTTTACTTAAATTACAATCAACAAATATGCTACAATAAAGACAGCTACAATAAAGACAGACAGTTAATAGGAACTAACATGTAAGATAATCCACATAAACAAACGCCTTTCTTTTTTTCTCAATAAAAAACAAATCGCTCGTATAGAGTTTAACATAATTCGGGACATAAATTTGTAAAGTAAACCCTCATCATACACTTAACATCTTTCCATGTATTTTATACACAAAAAACCATTTGATGAGTGATAAGGCAATAACATAATTGTTCACCACCACAAGAGAGTTGATCTTGGAGTATATTACTTACTACAATGTCTGATCAAATTCAAATAAACTGAAAAATACTAACTAAAAACATAGCAATAATAAGGGGATAAGATACAGGTTTAAAATATACTGTTGTTTTCACACAATAAAAAAGCGAGAGAATGATGACATCAAAGAGACACGTGTAAACCCTTAGGAACACCCGACAGCTTGAGTACTAATTATAGAAATCAAATAGTCAATGGATAATTGTTGTATTGAATGACTATATTGGCTTAATAATTATTATTTAGGGTGGCTAATATTTAAACATGGTTTATAATTATTTGTTTTTTTCTCTCTATATATAAATATATACGGCCATTAATCAATACCACCTAATGAAACACTTGTAAAAAGTGCATTATTAACTGTGAAAAATGACATATAGACTTTTTAATCTTTCTCAGGCATGTTAAAATGATAGAGCACTGTTAGGACTATGGACATTCTTTGAACACCTGAAAAAAAAAAGACTCAGCTGTTTTGGTGTGCCATTTATTGTATGTGTTGATGTCCTCATACCAAAGTATTGGCTGCAGGTCACAAAGTATTAGCTGCAGGTCATTCCGTTGACAAAATTTACCTCTTTCTATAAAACTAGCCGAACTACCATACCAAATGTAAAAGCTTGAAAAGACGAGTTTCATGATATCATTTTAAAAAAAGCATTCTTTGATTGTAGACTATTCTTTGTTGACAATTTTCTCCAATTCTCTGATGGGAAGGTGGAGCTGAAGTGGATCTCTGAGCCTGCGAAGATCATGTTCAGCCTGGCTGATTTCTTCACGAAGCTTGTTGTAGTGTTCAACATCCAACTTCTCTTTGTCTGCCAGCTTGTGAAATTTAATAAGAAACTGTCGATCTTTCACGTCAGGAAAAACATACTCCTGTAAATAAAGGAAGGAAAGAAATTATTTGTCTGCTTGTATTAACTGATGAAGCGTACGCTTGTATTAACTAATGCCGATTTACGTCCTCCAAAAGTCCAACATTTCTGTTTTCAGATGGCGATGTGTAACGTACGAGGCTTGTAGGGAGTGCCGTGCAACTAAAATGACACCCATTCATATGCTAAAATCAACTACTGCTCTCTTCAGAATGATTAACTGGATGTTTGTAAATTCTTTCATTAAAAAGTCACTAGAGTTTTTCCAAGACAGTTGAGATGATCAAACAATCAAAAACTTTCCAAGACAGTTGAGATGATCCAAAAGATCAACATTCTTAATATTTCCGAACAAACTTGAAACATTGATACTGCTACATCAGTAGATAAGACTAAAGCCGACAACATGGTGATGCCAGATAACTTGTGAAAATGTACTGATAGTCAACCTCAGATTGTTAAATTAACACGTTATTCTCTAAGTAACTGTTTTTTCAAAATTATAATTAAATTTTAATCAATTTATACTTAATAGAAACTTAATAATGAATTTTTCATGTTATATTATCATTTTTTAAAAAAAAACAACACATAAATTTCTGATAACATTTTGCCCATTTAATCAGGAATATGAGAGAATCTACGCCAGAAAGTATGTTTGGCAAGGCATGGAAAATAATTTTCTTCATTATAAGAGAAAGATGAAAGCTATATCGGTGGACATGTCAAGGACTGCATTTAAAATAATGGAATATCCAAAATAAATTGATGCAAAAATGGAACAAAAATAGAATAAAACCAACAATTGTACTAACCTGCTTGGTAAGCAGAAAATATGCAAACATGGCCATGGATGTACCATAGGTGACAAAATATGTAACAGGCTCCATTATATCCCAAGAATACTCCCACCATGTAAGTCTAGCCAGTATTCCAAACTGTAAGCTCATGAGGCCGAGCCCTAACCATGATAAACGATTGGTATTTGTTCCTGCCTTATTACATAACACTGTTGTTTTCTGAGGAAAGAGAATTAGCACATGTAATGATCAAATCTAAAATTGCACATGATGACTTCAATAAAAAGGAAAACCAATTTCAAGTGCTTCACTTTATTTAAGGAACCCAATTTTTACTCCAAAATGGTGTTAACAATATGAAGTGTACAAACTCAAAAAAGATATTTATTGATCAGCAGCAGTTGTAATATGAATGGCAGTAGAACAACAAGGTGCTGAACAATTGATCAAGTAATAAGAAGCAAAGCTGAGGTGCAGATGAAAAAAAGCATCCAGCATGAAAAACGTTTATTCAATCAAGCAAAATCCTCTAAGGAATTATTTGATGATATGATAGAAAAACTGAGAATGTATCATCATTTGTACCGTTAATACTCTGTTATATGGTGTAACAAATGATGCCTTTGAGACATTGCTATCCTCATAAAATGCATCAGCTCATATTTTGACTTAATGCTGTTTGGGTCTAAATCTTAAACTTGTGATTCTCCTTTCCCAGCTTACTTTATATTAAGGTGGCAAAAAAATCAAAAATAGAAACCATATGTTGATAAACTCGTAGGTCCATTCAAGCATTCTTCATGCATGCCACTGAAATATGGGATATTTGCAATAATGTGCTCCCCCTTCACCTATAAACGCAATGAATTATAATTTATTAAAATGGTACAACATTTATTTCCATTTTTTAAAAGAATATGGTTGCATTAAATAACAAATCTTTGCTGAGGATTTCAATTTTGAAGAAAAAAAAACTTCATTAGTCTAAGGGAGGAGTCTCCAAACTTTTTTCACGGCAGGCCGGATAGCGGAAAAAATGACCAGCGCGGGCCGGATAATAATTTTGTACAATACTTTCAAGCCAGAACGAAAGCTCTGTACAAAATGGCGAAAAACTAAGTTTAGTATTCCATGTTAATAATGGGTGAGTGGCGTGCAATGTACAAAAAACAAAGACAACCAAAATATTTATTTGCTAAAAAAGTTATCAAAGAAGGCGACGTTAGCATAAATATAGTTACATCAGACCTAGTGCGCACATATTGGAATCTCACATACTAAGCAGCAAAAATGGTTAGTGAGATTTGTGCAACTGACGTTTGGCTTTCAAGATATCATCAATGTTTGGTGTGGAATTGCTGCATTCAAAACAAAAGAATTGTTTTCAAATGTTTATCAATCTCCCTCATTCAATGTTTTGATCTCACATACTTCATTTTTGAAAATGTTAGCTCACAGATGTAAGCTGTTCCAAACACTGATGCCATACCAGCGGCAAAGTTCTTCGGTTTCAGAAACGCAACATCAGGTTAGCAGCGGTAAAATCCAAAACAAGTTTTCCTTCTCTGTGGGTAAACATATGTTTTATCAAGCAAATTCAAGTACCGTCTGCGGGCTGGATGAACTGACCTCAAGGGCTGTAGTTTGGAGAACCCTGGTCTAATGCATTTTAAGCACACATGAAATTTTATTGACCTGTATTAACATTTTCCCAAATTACCATAAAAGTTGTCTTTTATAAAAATGCCAAATTTATAATAACTCTTGTAAACATTGCATTTTGAGCCTAGCCCCTTTCAATAAACATTGAAGATTTAAAATGACAAAAAATGTAACTTTTAAAAGATGTCTTATTAACAAAAAGATATTCAACAATGCCAAAGTTCTTGCTGTTTATCAATTAAAATGAAATAAGGTCCTCATTCAAAAGAGGCCATTTTAGTTATCCCTAAGATAAGGAAACTCATATTTGATATGATTTTATGTCTAATGAGCCCTCATTACCCACAAGATTTCATTTTTTACCCAAATTGAAATAATTTACCACAGTTCACCTACACCTTGAGCCCAAAGGTAAGGTCACGGGGCCAACAGACAGGACTACAATAGTGTAAACCTATCCAGAATTCAAGGTGCTGAACTCATCCCAGTCCTCTGCTTCGTATCAAATGAACTGACATATTTTTTTATAAGTTCATACTAAATATGCCAATTTTAACAGTGAAAAGTCCAGATAGAAGATGGATAGTAAGCGACTTTTGTTTTTATTGTCAATCAAAACAATATTTAATATAAATTCAAGGAAAAATGAGAAAGAGCCAATGATAATTCAAACTAATTTCTCTTACTGCTTCCAAAGGTGCTATCTGTACATTGAGATCTTCCAAGCGTTTTCTTAAATCCCTCTCTCTTTCAAGCTGGTAACTTTCGACATTCAGAGTGGTGTACAGTTTGGTAATCAGGAGTTTGACATCTGTGATGGTCTGAGCATCTTCACTTGAAATAGGGCCTAAAGCAAATGAAATTTTTGTCTCAATGATAACACTACTTTATTTGTAATTCTATACACCGAAGCAATGGCATAAGTGTGAAATAGTAATGCAATCAAATACTGAGGGTTTCTTCAAAGCGGCTAGAACTCATTGTTTTAGTTTATAAAAAGTAATATTTTGAACAGAACTCTTTTCATACTAGTGAGTACTTTTATCTATTGAATTTCTAACTTACAGATCCCTTGAGGTCTGACTCTAACAAACCTCTAACTTACTGATGACAGGAGTGCTGACTGAGTACTTTTGATCTAACAAATCTCTAACTTACCTGATGACAGGAGTGCTGACTGAGTACTTTTGATCTAACAAATCTCTAACTTACTGATGACAGTAGTGCTGACTGAGTACTTTTGATCCAACAAATCTCTAACTTACTGATGACAGGAAGATTGAGTACTTTTGATCGAATAAATCTTTAACTTACAGATCACAGGAGGGCTGACGGAGTACTTTTGATCATTTATTTTTATCTGGAAGTCAGATCTCATGAGGACATCGATTGAGGTGGATTTGGCAATCTTGCTGCCTTCTGTAAAAGTTTAAGCATGTGATTCAATGTAAGAGAGTACATGGAAAGCAAGTTGTAATAATAATTACTACTTTGAGGTAATTATTTTGTAGTGTAATTTACCAGTGTCCTTAACAACTGTGTTATTATAATGTGTACCCAGCTGCAACACCAGGAGGGTGGGGGTGTGACAGTGGAGCTGCACTTACAAACTTTTAAAATAAGTCACATTCTTTCTAAAATTCAGCTTTCCCTATATTATTTTTAAAATTTTGTACTCATGAAGACTTGTACAATGCTAGATGGCTTCTAGACATGACAGAAGTCAATTCAATCTGCTTCTAAACATTCCATCTGCTTCTAGACATTTCAGAGGTCAATTCAGTCTGCTTCTGGACATGTCAGAGGTCACTTTCAATCTGCTTCTGGACATGTTATTGGTCCATTCAATCTGCTTCTAAACATTCCATCTGCTTCTGGACATGTCAGAGGTCAACTGAAATATGAGTATGTTCAAGCTGGATGATTCATAAGCCATCAAACAATTTAACTTGAATAGTTTTTTTGACCAGACACAAACTGATACATTGTAAAAAAATGGTGTTACCTTTTGTAAAAAACATCACAGTGTCAATGCCACCATCCTCATCCTTAATAAACTGAACAAAATCTCCAACCGTCTGTGATATAGGTTTGAGAGTGAATTCACATGTCTCTCGTCGTGAAGGCAGTGGTAAGGTTACTACTGGAAGCCCATCTCTGTAATCAACTGTTACATCTGAAAAATAGTGGTTTCATACATCTCAGGAACCCATCAATGAGCAAAGAAATAAAAACAATTGAATGTCCAAATCTCTTGGCCGACACTTTAGAATCTTTTTTTTACAGTCCACACTACTTTCTACTAGGGTTGATCACTACTATAACTAGGGTATACATAACAAATTTTATTCAAACATCACTTGATCAACATAAAAAATCAAAGTGTAGAGAAAGTGGAGGCATATAAGTACTTAGGTGTCACAATTAATAATAAGCTAACATGGCATGAGCACGGCCAAATGCTGTATAAGAAATTCAACCAAAGACTGTGTCTCAAAAAACTGTAAAATTTCGGCGTAAACAAGCAAGTCGTTAACTTGTTCTACAGTGCAACAATTGGAAGCCTGCTTAATTTCAGTATTACCTGCCGGTGTGGGAATTCAACGTCTGATATTAAACACAGTATAAACCAACTAATTGAGAAAACTAGGAACATAACACAAACTAAACATCCTTCACATCATTTGAAGAAAGTTGTTTTTGTAAAACTAAACACATTTTGGATGATAAATCCCACCCTCTTCAACACAGATACTTAGGATCGGCCCGTTCGGGATGAATTCTTTCCATCAGGGCGAGGACTGAAAGATATACAAATTCTTTTGTTCCCCAATTTGTACGAATTTACTAGCGTGCTCCCTCTAAAGTAACACATCTTAATGAGAACTAATAATTCCCCGATTTGGCTAAGAGAACTCACTGAATGACTGTTTGAAATTTTATTATAAATGTCTTATTTATGTGCTGAAAATTTATAATGCAATCATAAAACATTTCCATTTGTTTGTATCAATAAAAAGAATCTTATCTCATTTTATCTTATCACTGCTAAAACTATACAACATAATCTTACAAATAGTAAAACAAACTAATTTTTCTTTTAAAAAAACTATTTAATTATCATGATTTTTCATGGAAAAAAACCTATAAAACTAAATCTAACCTGCATCTTACTAACAATCAAACAAGCACACTAACAATCATAGTCGCTAAAAATGTCTTTTAAATGTTATAAGCAATTACCTGTTTTGTATAAAACTTGAGTACAATAAGGACGGAGACATTCATTTTTGAGGTGACCATATCCAAATACAATCTGAAGAGACCAATAAAGTAAGAGTAAACATCTTTTTTTTCTTCTTCTTTACCATTTATCAATTTATTTGAAGACAAACAAATGGGTGAAAAGGCTTAAGTTTATTGAAAGAGACGAAATGTCTTGGTATGTAAGTGGCATGGTGAAGCATTTATCAAATCAGACGATCTACAGCTGAGCAAGTTTAAACTTCAGGCCTTCCTCAGTTTAACAAAAAAAGAATGTACTTGAATTGTAGATGATTACCATAATATCTACCAACTGAAAGAGAAGATGGACAAATTTTCATCGTCGATGGTGCCGGAAATATGTTTTAATATCGAGATGCTGGTGCTTGAAGTGTTTTGAAATTAAGAGGGGGCGCTGGTTGCCAAAAGGTTAAGAACCCCCTGATCTCACTATTTTCTACTACATAAAACATACACTCTAAGCCTGCAAATAATTATTTGAATGTATTGCAATAATCTGCCTCACAACCATTATGATCTAAGTAAGAGAAACGCCATTAATCAAAATGAATGAGACAACTTTAGTTATAAAAGTAAAATGTAATGTATATATATATATCTTTAGTGATAAAATTGTGGGTGATTATAACAATGATTCACTCAACTATAGACACCTAACATGTAGTTTACAATCATGATGACTATTCCTTCAGTGTGACCTGCTTGCTATGTGTTCAAATAAGAAAGTCAGTGAGCTTGGAAACAAACAACACCCTTTGCCTGCCTTATTTTGTTTTCTGGTGATACTGTTATGGATAGGTTAAATAGGTTCCTTTGATGATCACATTTTACCCTAAAATTAAATCAAAGGTTTTAGTAATCAATAGTTCATGACATAATAAGCAATGTCTTGCTGGCATATAATATAAGAATAGGAAAGTAATACAAAAATTATAGAAATATTACATTTGTTGCAAACTTTAAAGAAAAAATGAGTCTCCCCTCCCCAGAAGATTATTTTATTTTTATTGAAAGTCGGAGGAAAATTATGGTGAAATGTTTGGACCTTTCAACTTTTGCACATGACTAATTAATTAATTAAAGCTTTCCCCAACCAATTGTTTAATAGTATTTGCATATGGCAAACTCTTATGAATGAAACTCTGAGATTTTGCACATGGAAACTTATGATATGAACTCTACCAAGTTTTTAAAACTTAAATGAAACTATTCTAGTTTAAATGCCCTCTAAATTCATTCTAAAACATAAGCTATCAAATATTTTGGTGCTTATCGTGTAAATAATTTAATACTTCCTAAGCTATTTCCAATACAAATTAAGTAGTAGTCTCTCTTGTGTTACCACAGTTTGAGTACATGGGTACTTCAATGTTCAACTACCCAAAAGACAGCGCTTTAGCAAGTGTCTTTTTTTTTCACCAATGTTTGGTCTTGGGGCATGAAGTATGTGTTTCACCAATGTTGGGTCTTGGGGCATGAAGTATGTGTTTCACCAATATTGGGTCTTGGGGCATGAAGTATGTGTTTCACCAATGTTGGGTCTTGGGGCATGAAGTATGTGTTTCACCAATGTTGGGTCTTGGGGCATGAAGTGTGTGTTTCACCAATGTTGGGTCTTGGGGCATGAAGTATGTGTTTCACCAATGTTGGGTCTTGGGGCATGAAGTATGTGTTTCACCAATGTTGGGTCTTGGGGCATGAAGTATGTGTTTCACCAATGTTGGGTCTTGGGGCATGAAGTATGTGTTTCACCAATGTTTGGTCTTGGGGCATGAAGTATGTGTTTCACCAATGTTGGGTCTTGGGGCATGAAGTATGCGTTTTGTTTTTCATTTCTTTTGAAATTTGTTGGTTTTATTAATGTAAATATTATAGGAAATTTTTATTTTAATATACTTCATATTAACCGTTCAATTGTCAGATTTAGTTTATAGCAAGTAATGCTCAGTGAAGAAAGGGAAGTTATCACACATATTGTTCAGGTACAACAATTGGTCTTTACGCTTTAATCCAGTATTGGGATTTCCCAAAGTGACGTCACTGCGCTCAGGGTGAGACAACTCTTAGCAAAACCCATACCATTAACCCAATATTTCCTGAATCAACTTTTTTGAGCTAGGAATTTTAAAAGTGCAGTTTTTGTCAATTTACGCAATCTGCGCCACTTTGAGTTTTTGTGTAGGACTCTCTTTTGTTTATTCTTGGATTTTTTACTAGAGTTAACTTCTTTTTTTAAAATTATTAATGTACCAAAGGAATGTTTTAAATTAATATTTCATTGGGTAAGTTGACCTTCTTGAGATGGCTGGCAGATTTATCTGCCCAATAATAAAAGCCTCAAGGTCAAGAGTGGCCGGCTGGTCTTAGTACCAGCTAATCAGATTGCTTCTTGCCATTCTTGATCATCTCACTATTTTAATGGCTGCTTATTATGATATTATACGATGTTCAGTCATTTTATAACCATTTTTTTTAATCTAGAGAGACCCCTATAAATGCTTAAAAAATATGTGCCCTTCAAATTTGCCTAAGGCATACGGAGCTCCAGGGGACAATATATGCATTTTTTCACACTGAATCCAATTCTCATATGGGTTAAGACTTATTTAGACTTGATCAATCATAAAATTTAACAAAATTCTGCAAGACAATTTTATTCAAAGTGTAAAAAACAATTGTTTGCATAAATTATGCAAATAAGGATATCTCATTGGCATAAATGTTTAGATTTCAGTTTGATCGATAAAGATCGTAATAGTTTATTCAATTCCCTACAAGAATATATATTGTTTTATATCTTTTAAGCAATTAATTTATTTTTATTTTTTTTTTTGCAAAGTAAGTGCAGGGCTTGTTAAAAGGGCTCTGTCATTTTGGGAGAGGAATTCCAAAAAGGCTCTGTCTAAAGATAGTTAATTATAATGTTTAAAACAAGGCCGGCATTTTGAAATGGGTATTGATTTTTCTGACAACTTTTGGAATTTATTTTTGGTGGAACCTGCAATAAAGTGTTTAAAAGTGTATTCGATAAAACTGTAAATTGGATTTTCATTATTTTGAATATTTTAAAAGTAATTTCAATATTTCTATTCAAATTGATTATTTTCTCAGTACAGTAGTGTGTTGTAATTTTAGCACACAAACACATGGTTTAGGTTTCCCTTTAGGCCATAGATTTTATGTTTGAAGATTTATGCTTACGTTAGGGGGACTAAATTTACTGTGGAATTAACGCTTCAGTTAGGGATACTGACTTTGCATTCATGTTATGTGAGTAAGAGATTTCTCTAAAATTTGGGGGTGAATTTACACTCTAATTAGGGGGAACTAAATTTATGTTTATTATGGTGGAATGTACACTTGAGTTAGTATGTACTTAAGTGAAGCAAGGAAGACTACTTCAAAGTTTGTATCGGAAATGGGCATTGGCGCAGAAAAATCCAAGTTTTTAATTTGTGGACATTGGTGCTTTTCCATTAATAAAAGGACTCTTTTGTCATAAAACTGTGGTATCGTTCCATAAATTCACAATGGGGAGATCTTGACCTACATTCCAACATACTGTTTTGCCTTGTTTGATCGACCTTAGTTTTAAAAACTCATAAGGCACTTTTCCCTAAAAAAGTTTTTGAAGAAATTTAATTATGTCTTTCATATTAAATTCTAAAAAACATTATATATTGATGAGTATGTATGCCTATTCTCATTGATGTAGGTCATATCTGACCTAAATTACCATAAGGCCACTCAGCCCAATATGGACCATGCCCAAACACGCCCCCTTTTTATGGTGGAAGATTCCGATACTTAAGACTTAAGAAATACTCAATTATTACCACTATTTACATCAAAATATTTGGATAACTTGTGATTTAGAGGCAAATTAGAAGGCATTTAAACAAGAATATCTTAATTAGAGTTTTCAAAATCCGGTACAGCCCATATTATAAAGTATCATAACTTGCAGTATGCAAAAACTATTGAACCATTTGTCAGGGAGAGCTTTAATTAATTAGTCATGTGCTAAAGTTGAAAGTTAAAAATAAGTATTCCCTAAACAGTATTTTAGCAATAAGGGGATGCGATGCCTTATTTGGACTGTATAGTACATACCAGTAAAAGGAAGCCATAAACAGAAAAGCCATAGATTAATATATAATTTTATTAAAATTAACAATATACATAATGCATAGTTAGATAAGTTACAATTCATTTATAATTGCATAACATTATTAAAATTACTTTTTAATACAGAATTAAATCTTGAGATAAAAGTTGTATAAATGTATCATTAAAATTTATTGTGCACCACGTGATCAGCGGAATGGGGTCACAAAATATGGAGGTATAGTCCATAGTAGAAAATACCAAAAGAACTTGAACTTTAAAAATCCGGAGAACAAAAAGTACTAATGTAAAAAGTTGATTCTTTTTCATTTTTTTCTTTGAAATTTGCTCTTGAAAACTATAATATTAATATTATTTTAATTTTTAATTTTTTATCCAAGCACCTAGTCTAGGTTAGGACACTAACTTAGCAGTCAGGTTAAAAAAACAGAATCAAAAGTGTTTTTGAACTACATTTTTTTTTTTTACAGACGACACCTTTCTTGTCGTGATACGTCTGCGTCATGGCAAAAAAGATGGAGGCTGTGGGGGGAAAATGGCAAAAATCACAGAAAAATAAGTGGCGCGGACTGCAAAAATTTACCACAGGTTTCATCCTGATGATAATCCAAAAGATGATAAAAGTTGTATAAATTATTATTTAAACAAGTGTTATCCCGCATGATTCTATCAGTGGAATATGGTCAAAACTATGTGGAGGTGCAATTGCAGTCCATAGTAAAACATTACTATAAAAACTAACTTACTAAAGTAGATACTTCGATGAAACACGGGAGACTACTATTTTGTTTGTATCGGAAATGGGCGTCTGCGCCGAAAAATCTGAGTTTTTAATTTTCCGATGTGTGTGTCTATTTATTATTAAATTAGTTCTTTCCACATATATTTGAGTTCCGTTTCCGGCCTTATAATTTGGAAGACATCTTGGCCTACATTTCTAGCCAGCTATTTTGCTTTTTTCAATCGACCTTTATTTTGAAAATCTTTGATATATATAAGGCATCTTCGCATACAAAATTTTTTGTGAAATAATAAGATAAGGCCCTTTTTGATTAAATCTGTATGAGCATTAGATATTGATCTATATCTGTGCCAAGTTTCATTGATGTAGGTCGTGTCTCACGTTTGTTACGCTTGTCCCAGTGACCCATATCACCATTAGGTGGCTCAGCCTAATTTCAACATGGCGTGGGCCACGCCCCCTTTTTAATGGCGGAAGTTGCAGATACTTAGGAAATATTTAATTATTACCACTATATACCTCAAAATATTTTATATTTTGTATTTCAGAATGCATTTTGAAGACATTTAAACTGGAATGTTTTAATTTGAGCTTTAAAAACCCTGCAGAGTCCATATTATAAATGATCAGAATTTTCCGTGTGCAACACGTTGTCATTGGCAACCATTCACAGCCACTTGCATAACGGCTATATCGTAGTACTATCTCAGAGTTTCATTCATAAGAGTTTGCCGTGTGCAAAAGCTATTAAACCATTGGTCAGGGAAAGCTTTAATTAATTATTCATGTGCCAAAGTTGAAAGTTTAAAATAAGTCGACCCTAAACAGTATTTTAGTGATAAGGGAATGCGTTGCCTTATATAAACTATATAGTCATTGCGCATGACGCGATCAGCGGAATGAGGTCACAGAATGTGGAGATGCAGTCCATGTTAAAAAAGGACAAACCAATTCGTACTTTAAAAATTCATAACTTTAAAACTACAACAGCTAAAAATATGATTTTGGTGTTATAATTCTGTAAAAAATTAGCTCTATTCAACTGTGCCATTGGTTTATTTTTATAAAATGTTTGGTAAAAGTGCAGTTCAGGTGCGTATATTATTTCTGTTTGAATCTCTTATTTTCCCGTGTAAACTTATGTTAATTCTTTATAAAAAGTATTTTAAAAGTTATATACCATCTTTTTATTGGAATACAACAACAATTTAACAAATTTTACGAGATAAAAAAAGTAAATTTTTATGAATCTTTCGTGTTTTACGGAGCCATTGTGGTAAATCAAGGATAACTCTTCTGTCTTTAAAGATACTTTATAAAAGTTGCCCAATTGGATGAATCTTGTTAAAATAAAAGATGTATTTATTTTATAACTTTACTATCAACGATAACCGGAGTCGCCCGGGGCTGCATTCAGACAAAAACATCTGCTACGTCCTTTTAGTTCACATTGCTATTAAAGGAAATGTCAACAACAAAACAACAACACTATAGTAAAAATAATAATAATTAATTTGTCTCCTATTAAAAACAATTAAAATAACTTATGTAAACCTTTCGTTTTTCCCGTTTTCCGATGGCACCCGGAAGGATCATGATGGGATCCCGAACCCGATGTGATTCCGATAGAATCCTGGTCATGGTGGGATCCCGATCCCGGTAAGATACCGATCCCGGTGAGATACGTTTCCGGTGGTATCCCAAACTAAATGAGATCCCAATCCGGTGGGATCCCGTTTCGGTGAGATTCCGATCCCGATAGGATTTTGATCCTAGTGAGATCCTGATCCCGGTGGGATCCCGATCCAGTGGGTTACCGATCCTGGCGGGATACCGGTTACGGTGAGATCCTGTTTCGGGTGATATGCAGATCCCGGTAATTATGGGGAGCTCACACACTTGACATACGAACCCAGCTTACAAGCCACATTGCAATTGTTACGAGCGCCTTAGGAGAAATTCCAGTTGTATTAACGTTATTTGTTGCCACACAAGGTGCGCGTATAAACCAAATGCTGCACCATTAAAAATGCCTGTTGCATCAACAATTTTAGTTATTGTTTCTTGGTCGTCCTGGGGGGTGTGCTTGTGCGTAATGAAGAATCTAGTATTTCAATCTTTTTTGTGAACATGCTTAGTTTGAAAATTTCGTTTAGCATTACTAACTTATAGGTGGCTAAAAATCTGGCATAGCGTAAAAAAGAAAAATACAAACAAATGGGGGCCCTGTCACTTTGGTTGGGGGATGTTTAAAGACTCTTTAGAAGTAAAATAAAAAGAAAAGATGCGATTTATAATCCAGAATTAGTTAACTATAACTGCCTGGATTTAATTATTAAAGAATACACGTAAGTTTACATGATACAAAAATTTTTAAATACGAAATGCGCTAAGAAATAATATACGCACCTGAACTGCACTTTTACCAAATGTTTAAATTTTTGACCAAAGTATAGATACTTTGGTCAAAAATTTAAACATTTTGTAAAAATAAACCAATGGCATAGTTGAATAGAGCTAAATTTTTACATAATTATAACACCAAAATTATATTTTTAGCTGTTGTAGTTTTAAAGTTATGAATTTTTTAAGTACGACTTGGTTTGTCCTTTTTTAACATGGACTGCATCTCCACATTCTGTGACCTCATTCCGCCGATCACGTCATGCGCAATGACTATATAGTTTATATAAGGCTAAGGCATTCCCGTATCACTAAAATACTGTTTAGGGTCGATTTATTTTAAACTTTCAACTTTGGCACATGAATAATTAATTAAAGCTTTCCCTGACCAATGGTTTAATAGTTTTTGCACACGGCAAACACTTATGAATGAAACTCTGAGATAGTACTACGATATAGCCGTTATGCAAGTGGCTGTGATTGGTTGCCAATGACAACGTGTTGCACACGGAAATTTCTGATCATTTATAATATGGACTCTACAGGGTTTTTAAAGCTCAAATTAAAAAGTTCCAGTTTAAATGTCTTCAAAATGCATTCTGAAACACAAGTTATCAAATATTTTGATGTATATAGTGGTAATAATTAAATATTTCTTAAGTATCTGCAACTTCCGCCATTAAAAAGGGGGCGTGGCCCACGCCATGTCGAAATAAGGCTGAGCCCCCTTATGGTGATATGGGTCACTGGGAGAAGCGTAGCGAACGTGGGACACGACCTACATCAATGAGAATTGGCACAGATATATATCAATATCTAATGCCTTACACGATTTAATATGAAAGACCTGTTCCTTTTATTTCACAAAAAATTTTGTATTTGAAGATGCCTTATATATACCAAAGATTTTCAAAATGAAGTTCGATTGAAAAAAGCAAAATAGTTGGATGGAAATGTAGGCCAAGATGTCTTCCAAATTATAAGGCCGGAAACGGAACTCAAATATATGTCCAAATAACTAATTTAATAATAAATAGACACACACATCGGAAAATTAAAAACTCGGATTTTTCGGCGCCGACGCCCATTTCCGATACAAAAAAAGTAGTAGTCTCCCTTGTTTTATCGAAGTATCTACAAAGTATCTATACTAAAGACTAAACTAAAAACTTGCACTTTAAAAATCCATAGCTCAAAAAGTTCTTAAGTCTAAAGCTAGACTATGCTTTCATTTTTTTATGTGAAGATTGCTTAATACAACAGTTTCCTTTTCAATTTACCTACTTTTGGCTATGTGATGTGTGCAAAATTGGCTCTTGTCCGTATTATTTATTAATATTTTTGTTGGGTGGCAGATTTTAGTCTAATTAAAAAACCTAAAGCCAAAGCCATGCATAAATATTCTAAGTTGCCACAACACCACTTTATGAGATAGTTACCTTGGCCTTGATTTTAAATTGGCATCTATTTCTGGTCTGGGTGCATGCATTAAAAAGCTTAATATTTTGTGCCCATAAATTCCTGCTGAGAAGCTTCCTGAGTGGAGCAACGGCCGCCATTATTCCACTCTCGTATGTAACGAGATAGGATAGGAATTAAGTACCAGATAATGCATACTTTGTCGAATATTTTGCATACTGAATACTAAAAATTATTAAAAATACCAAAATTATAAAAATAATTATATCTAAGTTGGCATAGATTAATGGTTACCCTTAAACTATATAAATCAATAGCATTGTTAATTTTATAAGTAATTAAGGAAATGTCAATGTATATATATGTATATATATATATATATATATATATATATATATATATATATATATAAATATATATATATATATATATAATATATATATATATATTGATATTTCTCTAAGAAAGTGAAATATTTATTTATATTAACACAAAGATACAATCTAAAAAAACAAATAGATTAATGGTTACCCTTAAAATATATAAATCAATAGCATTGTTAATTTTATAAGTAATTAAGGAAATGTCAATGTATATATATGTATATATATATATATATATATATATATATATATATATATATATATAAATACATTGACATGTATATATATTATATATATATACATTGACATTTCCTTAAGAAAGTGAAATATTAATTTCCATTAACATACAGATACAATTTCAAAAGACAACTGAAGGTTTATTTTTCTTAATATGTGTTTGTTACTTATTGTTTCATTCTGTTAGTGCGAATCACCATTGAGTCCACTGTCGTGTTGCTACCGGGCTAACCCATGATCAGACAACTTGGCATTTAGTATTAGAAACTTTTTTGTTAAAAATAAATGGAAAAAAGTATCGGTAACTAAAAAAAAAAAAAATTTAAAAAAAACCACCAAACCCCACCCCACATAAAAAAAAAAAATTACATTTTGTAATTTTTTTAAAATAATAAATAAGCGCTTCTAAGAAATCACAATTTAATTATATATGCGTATGTATTATGGTTTATATTTGGAGTGTCTCTGTTACATTTTTTTGTGTGAAGACTAACAGTTGTCATGATTATCAATATCTAAAAATGAAGACATAATAACTAATAACGTAGGGGCTACTACCCAGACTTATATTCTTGGTTGTTGATGCTCAGAACTTCAGGGACATGCACAGAAAGTGTCTGCGCCTCCATCCCTGAAATTGTGCCCCCAGGCTCAAAAGAACTATAGAAAACATAGAATATCAGTTAAATTTATTTACCGGTATTTATGTTTCGTATTTTAAAATACATTTTTAAGAGAACCGAGACCTTTGTTAGTATGAACATATTTTAGATTTATTATTTTGTGTATTTCCTAATTATTAGAAAGAAATATCAACCTTAAATGTTGAGTGAATAGGGAACAAAATCGAAAAGTGGCACGGGCCGACCAACAGTCACACCACGGCTCTGTTTGTGTTTTTCGAGTGTGAGAGGAAGGGATGGAAAACTCAATGACCACTTGGATGGTGCGACTATGCCACTGCCACAACTGGTTGTGACTAACATTGTTACAAGATGGCACATAAAAGCACTAAATAATTCATAAATGTAGCAAGTAGCTTACATCCTTGACAATCTCTCATTCGATATAAGCCTCACTAGGATCAATTTCTTCTTCTTTTATATATTAAAGGCCAACGATCAATTTATTGATCATTTTGGCTCCTATGCATGTAGAGGGGATTTGCAATGTCTGTTTCTGTGCCTGTTGTTGACGAGGATATTTCACTGATTGCAAGGGCTACTTTGTGAGGGAATCATGCACTGGGGATTTGAAGGCTTGGGGCAATAGACACAAATGTGTCTAGTGTTGTCGCCACAACTGTTTCTTTTGAATTTTGAAAGCTTGTTCCAGTCCATGATTATCTTGGGCAGGAATGAACAATCCCTATACTGGCTTCTTGCAGGTATGAGCCGGAATTGCCTGCCATGGCCTCGTCGCTGTCTATGGGGCAGAGGGACGAGTTTCTGTTTAATACTAGAACAGTGGACCAGCCCATTATTTATCTTGTACATCATGGAGAGCCTGGATTGTTGTCGTCGTTCCTCGAATGGTGACCACCCTAGTTTTTTCAGCATGCTGCCAGCACTAGAGGTGTTTAGTGGTTTAGGACAAAGCGTGCTGCTCGTCGCTGGACCGCCTCCAACCTGTCAACGCTTTTCTGGGTAAATGGGTCCCAGACTGAAGATGCATAATCTTAAACCGGACGGACAAAGGCTTTATATGCTCTTTCTTTTACTCAGGAGTTGCCAATCTTTAGATTACGCCTTTAGAACCCCAGGGTCTTGTTTGCTTGGTTACATACATTGTTAATATGCTCGTCCCAGCGGACCTCTCTTTAAATGGCAACACCCAGGTAGGCCTACTTTACGGAGGAAACTGGCTCAAGTATATGGTCATGCAGTTCGTATTGGTAGTATAGAGGAGTACTAATTCTAGAGACTGATAGTGTCTGGCACTTGGCAGGGTGAAATTCCATGTCCCAGCTCATCTCCCACTAAGCTAACAGATTGAGATCCTGTTGATGCTGGTCAGATCTGTTGGCAATCGTCCTATACACCGCTAACCCAATTTGCTAACTCAAACGTAACAATGTAAGTAACATAAATAATTATGATTTCCAAATTCAAAATTCTATGAGCCTGGATAGTGTAGAATGTTACTTTATTACTATCATCAGTCCGACACCGACAATTTGACATCTTTCTAACACCAAGCGCACCCCCCCCTCCCCCATGACTCACCCTTCCACTTACTTATAAAACACCCTGATAGCTTCTCAGAGCACGGTACAGCCCTAGCCCAAGTCAGCATCTACTATTATTATTGTTACATATTATTAAATTTATTAGACTACGTCTTAAGTCCAAATTAGTTGACTAACGCTTTGTACTTTTACCATTGCTCCTATGCGCTGAACGGAGCCACTTCGTAATATTTTATCCTGATAAAAAAAAAAAGACTGGAAAATATTACTGATTGATAGGGGTAGTTGCACTGAGCACCTACAAACGAAGCTCTTTATTTTTATTTTGAATTCAGGATATAGTGAAAATAAATGTTGTCTTATGCATTCTTTGGATAAAGGCTCATTGCAAGCAACTTGGTTTTGGGTTTAGTTGAATTCACGTTTCATTTATAATTTATACTTAAATTATAAGTGTAATTTGGCAAAACTCTTAAATCAGATGTCTACACTCGGCTCAGAGCTTCGCCAGAGAGCTGCTCAGCAGACTACGCCGCCGTCATCAGGAGATGACGATGCCGACAAAACACAGGTTGGGTTATTATTAATTAAGTTTTGGGTTCATCATTATTTTTATTACAAAATAATAAAAGACATTAACATTTGTTTAATAATTCTTTACTATTAATATACTGGATATTTCATTCCCTAGTGCCTAGTTTCTTAATCAGGCTTATTATTTGTAAATCACAGTCAGTGAAGTTAATAGTTATAGCACAAAAATATATATTATACTAATTATAGTATTTATAGTTAGTAGCCTATAGTTATGCATCTAATATAGTCTCGTAGTGATTCTGCAGCATTTATATTAGGCGGGTGATGATAGAGTGAGGCGCGATTGGGAAATAGGTAAAGCATCCTAGGCCTAGGCTAATTACTAACACAACAACACATTAATCCAAAGAATTCCAAAACATATTTTAAAAGTTACCACTATAATTATAATTACTTGCGCATCTTTAAAATTAAAGATGAATATCAACAGCTTAGGCTTAAGGCTTAAGACTTAAGTCTAAAATTTACTCTAAGTCTAAGTTGATGTTAATGATGGCTCAAACTCAAATGTCTGCAAACAATTTTCAATATCAAAATTTTGCTTGAAGTTCAATGACCAAAGAAGGATAAATTTATGCAGCTTTTTAAATCCTTAAATTAACTTTGCCTTTGTTCCTGCCTGGCTGGCAAAATCTATAATAATCGGCATCCTTCCGTCTCGTGAGACGATGGTGCATCACCGTTGGGTTGGGTTGCATTTTCTCGAGTGGCTGTGCAGTCCTATCCTTGAGTGACAGTCTTTACCACAGTTTTTACACACGAGTTCCGTGCTTCTAAATGTTTTGGCCTTTCTCCTAGCTCTTCTGTCTGCAGCCTCTTCCATTCTTCGCTCCTCGGCTACCATGACGCCCTCTTTGACAACTGTGCGCCACGTAGATCGGTCTTTTGCCTTACACTCCCAGTCACTTGTATGTATTTTGGCTGCTTTCATGTCCCTTTGACAGACATCTTTAAATCGCAGACGTGGGCGACCTGTTTTCCTCTTTCTAGCAGCAAGTTCACCATATAGGAGGTCTTTCGGAATGCGGCCGGGACTCATTCTTTTAACATGACCTAGCCATCTCAGGCGTCTTTCACTAAGGATTGTGAACATGCTTTGGGTATTCGCACGCATTAGGACCTCACTATTAGTCACTTTTTCTTGCCATTTAATACCAAGGATGCGACGCAGGCATCTCATATGGAAGCTATTAAGCTTGCGCTCTTGGGATGTATAGGTGGTCCATGTCTCGCTCCCGTATAGTAGTGTACTGATGACACAAGCTCGATAGACGCACAGTTTGGTTTTCTCCGTTAGCTTGGTGTTTTGCCAGACCCGTTTATTTAGTTTAGCCATTGTGGCAGCTGCCTTGCCGATTCTGCTGTTAATTTCTTCTTCAATGGACAGTGTATTGGAGACCTTGGACCCCAAGTAGGTGAAGCTGTCCACAACCTCCAAGTTTTCATTATCGATTTTTATGTTAGGTGGAGGTCGAGTGTCTTGGGCCATGATGTTTGTCTTTTTCAAGCTGATTTGCAGACCAAATTCTTTGCAGGCATTGGAGAAGCTTGACACGAGTTGTTGCAAACCAATTTCTGTGTGTGCGGTTAGAGCCGCATCATCCGCAAATAGTAGCTCGCGAATTAGGACATCTGTCGTTTTGGTCTTGGCTCGGAGGCGGGCAGTGTTGAAAAGTCCTCCATCAGCTCTGGTGTGTAACCAGATTCCCTCACTGCTATCCTTGAATGCGTATCGAAGTAGTACAGAGAAGAATATTGTGAACAGTGTTGGTGCGAGTACACAACCTTGTTTAACTCCGCTGCTGACTGGAAAGGCTTCTGACTTGGCTCCATCGAACTGCACTGTACCCTGCATATCTTCAGATGGCTAATTGACATTCTATCAAATTTTAGCCCCCCCCCCCAAAATCAGTTTTCCTGTTTTTCAAGGAAAGAATAAAGGAAAATTCAAAATAACTGAGCTAAATGAGACCCTTAAAAAATATTCCAAGTGCGTTTGGTGGGTAATATTTTATTTTGTTTTCCTGAAATAGTTGTTGAAGTAAATCTGTGGTGTAAAAGCGGGTGGGTCATTAGAATATTAATATAGTTCAGGGGCTGAAAAAGAACATTGTATTTTCAATGTTGTATTGTCATCAACTTTGTACTGGTACAAGAAAAACAGTACTCTGTAAGTTAATGATTTTAATTATATTTATTTTTATTTTGTAATTTATTAGTAATTTAATAAAACTTATTAATTGTAATTAGCCCTGGATTGAGTGTCTTATCTTTTGCTATTGTATTTATCATATGGTATCGTCTTTTGTCATGTACTGTTTAGAACGAGCCATAAATTTTAAAATAAGAGATTAATTTCTCCACACTGATAACAGTACGTAACAGCCGAGCTTTTGTTGATCTGTGTACAATCTGATGCAAGTGATAATTGGTCAGCCATCGTATTGTGGGTTTCCCCCCTCACCCCTGCACCTTTGACCTCTACCTTCTAATGTCTTGATTTATCTGCTCTCACCGTCAAACTCGTGCTTGCAGCTTTCTTTTGCAATCTGATACACATGAAAGACAATCTGATGCACGTGGTAATTGATTAGCCTTCTAACTGAAGGTTTCCCCCACCCATGTACCACCCAGGCTGAACTCTCTACAATATCAATACTGAATTAGTAATTACTTTATATATATCAAGTTCTTTATAATTATTGAAATCCACTTTGCTGGCTGTAGCCTTGTAGACAAACATGTAGAGCACATCACGATTGCTGTTTCAGGTGTAGCTGTTTACTGCACGCATACTCCTTAAGCCTAGCTGATTGCTGCTTTTATTTTAACTGTCCCTTTTCTTTAGTTTCATTTTGCTTTTTTTAAGGTCATTAGACTTAAAAGTTAGAACAAAAAAGGAGAGGAGATCTCTTTCAAAAAAACATTAGGACTTTATCAATAACCAGCAGATAAGGGTGGAGCTTTCAATGTTAGGATAAGAAACTCTATATTAAGAAAAGCACACAATTTCTTGCTACAAATTTTTGCAAAGCTGAATAATCTATTTGCCATTTTCTTGAAACAATGGGACTTTTAAAATTGTACTTTGGTCTTTTTAAAGTCGGCAAGCTACTTCCACCTGAATCTAATTTACGACAGCATCCTCAATAGGCCAATCATTTCTGCTTGCTTTTGCCCTCTTTAACTGATTTGAATTTTTTTTTGGTTAGCATTTCAGTCATTTGAGAATTGAGCATCATACTTCAAAGACACTAATTATCAGGTACTATCTGGAGGATCTGGATTTATCTAGCAACAAAGCCCACACTTTTTTCTCTGAGACTTTCTACAAATGTTAAATAGATTACTGCATTGGGATCACAATTTTTTATTGAATATATTGGAAATTTCCAGCCATCAATTAAATTTACTGAAATAATCTCAGAAATGACAGTGAAATTCCAAGAAACATAAAAGTAAAAAAAAAAAACAACAACCTTAGTTGACTATGAACCTCTAGATTGCCACAACATGAATATTTAATATATATAAAACAATAAGTTTGATTAATCCCCACCTATTTGAGATTCCTTTCTATGAGTAATGGGACATCTGGTGTATATATTTACCAGTCGCACATTTTATGTTGGCTATTATTGGAAATTATATGGAGTTTTCATTGAACCAAAAAATGTACAAATATATATTACTAAAAATCTGCCTCGTTCATAGTAATTATTCATTTAAAGCACACCTGTTTCATTGACTCATATTATATTATATTCTGAATAACTCAGAAATCAGCACCTACATCTCAGGCCTCAGCATCTGACACTGATGAAGATGATCTTCCTGTTAAACCATCGAAACCTGTTCAGTCTCAAGCTCAAGGCTCAGATGTACTGGACAGTGCATTCAAAGTTTTTTCTCCAAGGTAAAAGCTCTTGGTGAAAATAACTAGGCCATTGCCCCTCAATTTAATGTGTACTGGAAATTATTACTTAGCTGCTTAATGAGGTAGATGATATTTTTTTGCTTTTTGAACTATTTAATACACTGGATGACTTATATAAAACTATAAAATAGAGAGGATGACATTTGTTACATTTTAAACTATTTAAAGCGCTACATATTTCTTTCCAAGCTGCATTCATTTTTTGTGTGTGGAAATATTCTGTATGGTTAGACACAAGAAACAAGTACATATCTTTCATAGTATGTTATATTTAGAAATACTATGTCTACACAAGGAAAACAAACACCTGTTCAGCCTCGTGTCTAGATTTTTAATGACTAGCCACAAGTAAAAGCACATGGCCTCTCACATCTCAATTCAAGAAGTGCAAGCTTCAAGGCATTGAAAACAAAGGGAAGCTACTGTGACAATACAACACTACAACATCACAACATAGTATACCATATATTTACAACATCACAACCTAGTATACTATATATTTACAACATCTCAACATAGTATACTATATATTTATTACTTTTTTAGACAGTCAAATATTCTAGAGATGGTGTCACATTACAATGCTTTAAGGTTGATGGTTTTGTGGGATATTCAAAAAAAAAAAGTTACTTTTATTTAGTGTAAATTAAAATGTGTATTCTGTATAGCAGTAAGAGTTATATTATGACATTTTATCTTAAGGGTCATATTATTTGACATATTATTGTATGATTCTGCAGATGGAGAAATTGGTTAATTCGTGGAATCTTTACTTGGTTGATGATTTTCTCCTTTGCTGTGCTCATATACCTTGGACCCTTAGCCTTGGTTCTTGTGGTGTGTATTTATTTAAGTAAAGAAACAAGAAACATGAAGCAAAAAAAATAAACTTGATAAATGACCCCTTAAAGCAACACAGTGACCAAAATCCTGTTTTAAGTGAAAAATGAAACAAGCAAAAAGGGTGGCGAGTAAAACAAAATACAAGTAAATATGGAAAAGTAAAAAACTTTGCCCATCCTCAAGTATTTTCTTTCTTTGAGTCTGATAACTGAAATGAAACTAAGAATTATGGGTAAGGAAATAAAACTAGGGTGTCCCAGTGGATTTCATGTAAATAGAAGTGGGGACAAAAAATGTGTTTTCATGAAAAAGAAACAAAAATTGAGTTCATGCAGTGCAGTTTGAGGGTTCTGAAACATGTTATAATCTATTCACCAAACAAGTCTTAGCTGGTTGCCTTGTGGAGGATACAATAGCCATAATTTACAATCAGTAGCACACTTTTGATTGCTTAATTGAAATGACTGTTTCTCATGTTCATGGTAAGCCTTAAGAAAAAAATGCCATAAATGGCAAAACTTGGCATTCAGTAAAAAAGTTTATTGAAAAAATCTATACATAAAAATGTAAAAGTAAGCTCCAAAGAACTATATTGCAAAGCTAATGTTATAGTTCTTTGGAGCTGACTTTTACATTTTTGAAAGACTAAGTTTGATTAATTCAAGAAGGTTTCATAGAGTATGTTTTTGACATGTTGGATGTTTTTATGGGATTTTATCAAACTTTTACAGAACTCATTTAATAACCATTTCCTTTATAGGCTATTTCGTACAACAAAAAATGCTGGTCAGTAGGCATTAACAGATTCACTCAACTAGAAAGATGTCATGCACAAAAAGCCTATCTTGTACATTAATCCTATTAAGCATTATTTAGTCTGCTAAAGAGCTTAGTGGTCACACACCTAATAACAAGCTGACATTCTTCAGAATTATTTTTGTTTCTATGCAAACATTGGCTTCAATTCATTCCAGAGAATTTGACGACATTCTTAATTAAAATAGTTTTTTTTTCTTCTATCTTATCATGTATCCCCCTCCACCTTTGCTAATTTCACACTGTCTTTTTTTCAATGCAACTTTTTTTTTTTTTCAATTCAAGACGTTTGCCCTGCAAATAAAATGTTTTCATGAAATCATCACTATTGGATACATAGTGTATAGATCTTATGACCTGCCATGGTTCAGAACACTCAGCTGGTATTTTCTATTTGCCTCCAATTTTTTCTTCTTTGGAGAAAGCATGATTGGATATTTTGGTGTTTTATTGGCCCGCACGGTGAGTAGTATTTTCTAACTTTCATAGTGTCCCTCACATTATTTTTTGTCTTGCACTGTCAAAAACTTTTCTTATCATAAGTATTTTTACGTCTAATTTTCAAAACAGAATTTGATCATTAAATGTACATCAACATAATTTTAGTGAATTTTTTAAAGCGGTTAAAATTAACATTTTCTATTTCATTGAGATATTATTGGTACAGAACTTGTTTGCAAGTTTCGCCCCAAAAATAAAACAAGTTTTTGAAGTGTATCTTGTATTTACTGTTTGCACTTGTATAATACAATTTTTTACAACCATTTTTTTCCAGGATTTTCTGAGGCCATTTATGACTTACCATAGATTCATATCCTTCTCACTCTATACTGCTGGCTTGGTTGGATTCGTCTGCAGTCTCGTCAAAAAACATTATTTAAAACAGTTCACCCTGGTAAGATGCCCCTATGTATTAATACTAGTCCTTAAATAAAAGGTTAGATCCAATAATATGGCAAGCGGCAGAGTCCGTGTAAAGACACTAAAGATTTATTCCATTGCTTTGTCATGCTGTGTGAAAAGTAGGCTAACCGATTTAAGTACCGGTACTTAACAATAAATAACAAACAAAACTTAATATCTTATAGAATTACTGTCAAAAATGTCAACTATGTTTTTTAACATTAATCATCAGTTTAAAAGTATAAGAAATATTTTTAACATTTGCTAATTGCCGTTTGATTCTTTGGTATTATAAATAGTTCCTAAAATAACATTATATTTTAATGTACGCTTGATTTATTATTTATTTGGAGTGATGTTGAGATTAACGTTATGAGATTTATAATAAAAGACTCATAATAGACTTGCAGGTGACATACATGTCGACCTGCACGGTTTACCCATACTTTGTACACTTTTGTATACGTTTGCAAAGTTGTACAGCCACACAGGCTTTTGTACGGTTTTCGACTGTATTTAGAAAATTAAATTTTTTGTACAAGACAAATGTATAAAACTTGTGGAATTATAAATTCAATGTTGGACAACAAGAAGCTTAAATCCTAATGGTCCGTTAAAAATAACCAGGTTGAGGATCCGCAGACCATCTAAATTTAGAAAGAGCACGGTTTCTTTGATATCATTTGTTAATACAAAGACGGAGTAGTATATGGTAACTACTATGAGTGGTAAACCATAAATACAAATCCGTTTGTGTAATTCTTAACAAATACTGCAGTGGTATTATTGTCATTAAATTTATTTAATTTTACTATCAATCAACTAAGTATCTAGCATTAGACATTATACTAAATTTATTTAATTTTGCTATCAATCAACTAAGTATCTAGCTTTAGCATTAGCCATTATGTTAAATTTAATTAATTTTACTATCAATCAACCAAGCATTATACATTATTCCTATGTATTACAAAGTTACTTAGACCGAAATCAGAGAGTATTGTAGGAAACTTCCAATAAACACTTTACATAGCGCAAAGAATGACAAAAAACATAAAACAGTCTACTTCTAACCATATGCCATTTGCCTCTGGTACAGAGTACAGTGACATATGAGACTATAAGTTTTCATTTTAACAAGAGGGATGAAGTTTATTTTGCTTCATTAATTTAAAAAACAGGAATCCGTATTACTACAAAATGTATATTTAACCTAAGAATTATGTCTAATTACATCTCAATTGCTATCAAATTCATCGTCTGAGTCTACTTATAATCAAATTGGTATTGTCTTGTAAAAACTCAAAATTTTAAAAAATCTAATTTAAAACAAGCCACTTTCATTTAAAAGATGTGATACCTCAATTTATGAAGGATGTCACCTAGTTTAAAAGAGTGTGCAGCAAAAGGGGAGATTATTCTTTTTTTTATTCAAGCCTTCATAACATTGATATAAATGCTGAAACTGAAACTGAAATGATACATCATACTTTTTTTTGACTTCTCATTTTATTTTTTTTCTATTCAGTTTTTAAAAAAAATTCTTTGTAGAGCTTTTCCTGCCATAGATTGGCATGTATGTGGTTAGGGTTGTGGTTTGTACTTGGCTTCTCTAGATTCACAGCTTGTAACATTTCAAACCTAAGAAAGTTGATTGCACTACATGCTGACTTTAAAGCCTTATCTATTTTTAGTTTGGATGGACTCATGTGACCCTGTTGCTAGTGGTTACTCAATCACATTTCATTGTTCAAAATGTGCTGGAGGGACTTATTTGGTAAGATATGGATATATTAAGCAGAGAGGAAGAAAAAGAAACATCTAAGATTCTAGCCGTCTTATTCCTGCCCAAGCCCTTATTTTTACCATATAATTCTTGAGCACTGTAAAAATTAGTTTTCAAACTCAACTAAACAAAATCTTTAATCTTCACCAATATTCTTTTGAACAAATTTCCTACTAAAGATAATGTCATCTTAGAGCACAGTTTGAAGCACAAATCTGAAGGTCTCAAAATACGCCTTTATTTAAATTTGTCTATAAATAATTGTCACATAAAATGCATTTTTCACTCTGCTCAGGGTCCTTGTTCCAGTATCCATGATAATTTGCAACGATATCATGGCATATATGTTTGGCTTTTTTTTTGGCCGAACTCCACTCATCAAGCTATCACCAAAAAAGACCTGGGAAGGTTTCATAGGTGGCGCTTTTTCTACAATCATCTTTGGAATTATTGTAAGTTGACTGCATCTAAACAGATTAAAGATATGTACTGCCTGAGTTTATGATTAAATATATTTGATTATAGCTTTGTACTGACTGAGTTCATTATTAACTGTATTTGATTATAGCTTTGTACTGACTGAGTTCATTATTAACTGTATTTGATTATAGCTTTGTACTGACTGAGTTCACTATTAACTGTATTTGATTATAGCTTTGTACTGACCGAGTTCATGATAATTGTATTTAATTATAGTTTTATTCTTATTTAAATATGAATGTATAGATAAATATTTAGTTAAGTGTTAGATATATTCATCTCTAAATGTGTAATAAGTATTTAGTTTAGTGTTAGATATATTCAACTGAATGTGTATATAAGTATATAGTTTAGTGTTAGTTATATTCATCTGATCTGATATGCATTTGTTCTATTTTCACAGTTGTCATATTTCCTTGTGCAATACGACTACTTTGTTTGCCCGGTGTCCTACGATGACTCCAAGGATTCTCTCTCAATGGAGTGTGAGCGATCTCATGTTTTTCTCATCTTCCAGTACAATTTACCAGAGACAATAAGGGCATTCTTCAAGTTGGTGAGTACAGGTTGTAAGCTCTCTCTTTTTGTTTTAATCAGGGTACTCACATTCTGACCTTGGATTGGCCTATGACGCAGTCTGACCTTGGTCTGGCTTATGGCACAGTCTGACCTTGGTCTGGCTTATGGCACAGTCTGACCTTGGTCTGGCTTATGGCACAGTCTGACCTTGGTCTGGCTTATGGCACAGTCTGACCTTGGTCTGGCTTATGGCACAGTCTGACCTTGGTCTGGCTTATGGCACAGTCTGACCTTGGTCTGGCTTATGGCACACTCTGACCTTGGTCTGGCTTATGGCACAGTCTGACCTTGGTCTGGGTTATGGCACAGTCTGACCTTGGTCTGGCTTATGGCACACTCTGACCTTGGTCTGGCTTATGGCACAGTCTGACCTTGGTCTGGGTTATGGCACAGTCTGACCTTTCTTTATTAAAGACTATCTTTCCACTCACAAATCTTGTCTGTTTGTAGCATCCAACTTAGTTGTCGCATGTGATCTTCACACCAAGCTTTGATGGCTTCTGACTCAGGTTCACTTGTAAGGTCAAGGTCGCATCTGAGTTACTGACATAGATTGAGAGTATACCTGATTTTTCTTTTTTGGGGAGGGGGGAGTTTGTTGAGTGATGGGGAAGAAAGAAAATTAGATTTGAAAAAACCCAAGCTCATACCCCTTAGCATCCATTGAGCATCTGTCCTGACTGAAGGACGGGGGAATGAGTGGGGGCCAGGCATTTGAGATGAGGGGATTGAGGAGGGGCCAGGCATTTGAGATGAGAGGATTGAGGAGGGGCAGGCATTTGAGATGAGAGGATTGAGGACGGGGCCAGGCATTTGAGATGAGAGGATTGAGCAAGGGCCAGGCATTTGAGATGAGGGGATTGAGGAGATGCCAGGCATTTGAGCTATTAGACTCTGATCAACAGACGGCAAGGGACTAGAGACATAAAAGGCTTCAGTCATAAAATTCAACTTTTAGTTCTCTGCCTAGATAATAAGTTAAGTCAATTTAACTAGTATTTTGTAAGCATTGGTTGTTTTTGATAATTTAAAGATTAAAACTTGTATACTAAAATGTAGAAAATAAAATATCATATTAAAAATGTTGTTAAAAAAGACTGTCCTTTAAAGATGAGTTTAAACTCACTAAAAAGTAGACAATAATTGTAAATTTTTTAAATTGCAGTACACCAAGAAAATGTGCTGAAAAATATCTTCAAAAATGTTAAAAGAAAAAACCAAATATTAAGTTCCTTCTACAATTAATTCAAATGCTTTGGCTTCACAGAGTGCCTTACTACCCTTTGTGTAATGAAATTTAAGAAGTTTAAAATAATTTTCTACTTTTTAGTGTATTTAAACTTGTCTTAAAAAGAAAGTCTTTTTATAAAAAGTTATTTTATACTTCTTTTTATCATATTGATTGTATTATTGGCAAAAATTGACAGCCATTGGTATACTTATTTGGGTCAACTTTGTTTTATAAGCAAATAGTGGAGTCCAACAAGTGGGGTGGTCGACGACGTATCAGCAGATCATACAAGATTTTATCATTTTCTTTAGATTCATTTCTCCTATTGTAGAAAACAATGTTTTGAAAAGTAATAAACAAAAGTCAATACAGAGCGCGTGCTAATTTGAGGTGTGTGAAATCTGGCCAACTTTATGTCCTCCTTTTGCAGCGGCCATGACAGACTATCAAAGTACCTATGTGGTATAGTGTAAATTGTTAGGCTATCAAAGTACCTACATGGTACAGCATAGATGGTGAGGCTATCATAGTACCTATGTGTTATAGTGTAGATTGTCAGGCTATCAAAGTACCTACATGGTATAGTGTTGATTGTCAGGCTATGAAAGTAACTGTGGTATAGTGTAGATCGTCGGGCTATCAAAGTACCTACATGGTATAGTGTAGATTTTCAGGCTATCAAAGTACCTACATGGTATAGCGTAAATTGTAAAGGTCCATGCTCAATATATTCACCATGTATACTGGTATACTAGTATTTGTGCTTTAAATAATACTGTATGTTAATTAGTTTAAAAGTCTTTTTGCTTACACTATAATTATTTTAAAACAATATAAAACATTTTCTTTAGTATTGCTTCTAGTGGCATAATATTTTATGGGGTCCGCACATGAGAAAAGAACTGTTGAACGAGTATTTTCAGTAGCAATGTCTGTGTTACAGACTAGCACAGTCTGTAATGGACTAGCAATGTCTGTGTAATGGACTAGCAATGTCTGTGTAATGGACTAGCAATGTCTGTGTAATGGACTAGCAATGTCTGTGTAATAGACTAACAATGTCTGTGTAATGGACTAGCAATGTCTGTGTAATGGACTAGCAATGTCTGAGTAATGGACTAGCAATGTCTGTGTAATGGACTAGCAATGACTGTGTAATGGACTATATCTATGACGGAGAAATCCCCAGGGTAAACATTAACAAACACCCGATCATCTAAACATTTCCATTGAAGCAAGTCAATCACATGTGATACTTTCTTCAATGTTTGTGTATCTGTTTCTTGTTGATATTAAGTCAATGACATGTAATACTTTTTAATACTTTTAAAAAATTTTTCTTATGAATTAAATTAAGTTTTCTTTATTTATAAATATTTGTTTAATTTTTTTTTCTTTTCACATCTAAAATATGTGAAAGCTTGTATTGAAAATATATTCATTGGATAGATGATTTGTTTGTCTTCGGTTTCTAGTTGGGCATCCAGAAAACCACAGTCAGCATGTACCCATTCATTCTTCACTCCATTGCTATGTCAGTATTTGCATCTGTCATCGGCCCTTTTGGTGGTTTCTTTGCCAGTGGTTTCAAGCGAGCTTTTAAAATAAAGGTTGGTTTCTCTATAACATTTTTTTTCTTTTATAAATGATCTTCTTTACCACCCTTTCATTTAACCCTAAGCTGAAGAAGGTTATTTAACATAACCTGAAGAAGGTTATTTAACATAACCTGAACAAGGTTATTTAACATACGCTGAAGAAGGTTTAGTTTATTTGCTGTGGTTAGGCTCCCATGTTTCTATAGGTTCATGGCATCCTTGGAGATAAAAACAGCATGGCTTCCTAGACTTATATATCGCATGACATTGGATTGATGGATTGATTGATTGAATATTTATATATCACTGGTATCCAAACTATTTATCAAACTATGATCAGACCAGTTGAAACTTGGACCCTGACATAAACAGCAGAAAACCTATTAAACACAGGGGAAAGGAAATAAAATATATGGAGCAACAAAGGATGAATATGGATGGAGAATACGAACCAAACAGGAATTGTGCAGTCTATATCAGGATCCCATGATAGTAGCAGAAATAAAAAGAGGAAGGCTGCGCTGGGCTGGACACTTAGAGAGAATGCCAAATGACAGAGGAACGAAGAGGGTGCATCACCAATACCCCAGAGGAAAAAGGCTCAAAGGCAGACCTTGGCTTAGGTGGATGGATGATGTGGAAAAAGATCTACAGCAGCTGAAAGTCCAAGCATGGAAAAGAAAGGCATTAGTTAGGTCTAAGTGGAAGGAAGTGGTGAGGCAGGCAAAAACCCTACATGGGCTGTAGCGCCACAGGGATGGATGGATGAATGATGGTATCCGTGCTACTTTAGCATGCTCACTGCGCTCTGGTTTTCTTAAATCTATTTAAATAGAAAAGTTTTTAAATGTTTCTTAAATGATTTTTTATCATTTTGAATTCCCCTCAAAGATTGAGGCAAACTGTTCCATAATTTTGGCGCTATCGCTTCAAAAGAGCACACTTTGTAACACTTTTTTCTGTGTTCCTCTACATTGGGAATTTTCAGTAAGGACTGTGTTGAGGAGCACAAGTTCATTAAGGATACTTGTTTATAAATCAGTTCTTTAAGATATTCTGGTGCAGAGCCTTCTATGCAGCTGTATGCCAGGAACAGAATTTTGTAATTAATGCACTCACTCAAAGGAACCCAACGGAGATCTCATAGAACTGGGGTGATGTGGTCAGATTTCTTTATCCGCGATACAAGGCGTGCTGCACTATTTTGTACCTTCTGGAGTCTCTGAATTTGGTTCTGGGGTAAACCCCACAAACAACTGTTAAAGTAATCTAATCTTGACTGGATTAGAGTTACCGCTACAACATTGGCTGTTCTCTTATTGGGTTGAGGATGCAGCTGACTCAGGGCGCCTTGATGACAGAAGTAAGCCCTCTGCCAGAACTGATATGGGGAATCATTCTAAGTTTACTGTCAATATAAAAGCCAAGGTCTCTGACAGTGGGACAACAGGATCTCTGATTCACCAACTTTTAGTGATGCAACAGCAACTTTCCCAAGATTGGCTTCTGTCACCATTGAGTCAGTTTAAACTGTCAGTTCTAGTTTTTAGCACTAGTAATGACCTCTCATAGTCTGCAGTGCTTCAAATCCTTTTATTAGTTATCAGTTCAATGCTAGATACTAAGATGTAGTAAATATATGCCTGAAAAAATCAAATGTAGATTTAGGTTATACATGCCTATGATAAAATATAGGTTTATTCCATGCGTGCCTTAAAATCAGGAGTCTCAAACTCATGGGCCATTTGCGGCCCGCGAGGCGATATTTTGCGGCCCGCTACATAACAGCAAAGTGTAATGCTCTGCGGCCTGCGCGTTTTCCCTATATTAATCTATGTAATGTGACCCTCCACGACTGTTTGAGTTGCATCTCACCAACTAGTCTAAATCTGATTTTTGTATGATGTTTGTATCCATTTGGACGTTGATTATGATGGTAAAAACCATCAGACTTAAGGGTTTTATTTTATAGCATTTTATGAGAAAACTTGACCAAAGTGTGGTTTTGTCAAAAGTTTAAAAAGTTAGTTAGTGGGTAGGCTACTTATCTGTGTGAAAAGCTCTTTTCCACGATTAACTTTAACAAGTCAAAGTTAATTGCCAAACTTACTGATGAGCATCTTCAAGCTACACTGAGGGTCACAGTTGCTTCCTCACTTAAGCCAAATGTTGCTCAGCTGTGTAAGAAGAAGCGCTGCCAAGTCTCTGTCAACGAGCAGTAGGAGGAAGAAAGTCCAGCCTAGTTCTAGAGAACCCTTAATGTTTTTATTTGCTATTAATAAAGGTTAAGTGGATTGTAACCGTTGTACTTTATTGAATTTGTAATCGCTTTTTGTGTGGTATGCTTAATGCGGCCCAGTCTCACTCAGACTCTACCTCCTGCGGCCCCCGGATGATTTGAGGTTGAGACCCCTGCTTAAAATAAAATATAGATTTAGGTTTAGTCCATAAATGCCTTAAAATAAAGTCTAGGCTTAGTGCATATGTACCTTAAAATAAATTGTAGGTTTAGTACATGCAGGCAAAATAAAATGTAGGTTTAGGTTTAGCCCATACATTCCTTAAAATAAAATATAGGTTTAGTCCATCCATGCCAGGTGATGTTTTTCCAAATTGTATTCCTGGTCTTGAAGTTTTATCATGGCAGCCACAATATTGTTGATCATCTCTGACTATTAATGATTTAGTGATAAAAATCATCTATGAATAATCTCAGGAAGTTGGAATCATTATTAGCTTGAAGGTGTCTGAGTCAGTGATAAAATATAAGCAATCCTTGTATCTTAAACAATAAAATAATACATATAAGTATTCTTTGAAAGCTCTATCAACTTAAACTAGTTAGTATTATGATATTCTCAACACTGATATTAGTTTGATAATTTAGATTTATTAATGGAAACAAAACCAAGAGGACATACAAGTGATTGTGTTTGATAACACAGGTCTTAATGAGGTTTTTGATAACACAGGACTTAATGGGATGTTTGATAACACAGGACTTAATGGGATGTTTGATAACACAGGACTTAATGGGATGTTTGATAACACAGGACTTAATGGGATGTTTGATAACACAGGACTTAATGGGATGTTTGATGACACAGTTCTTAAACACATGTTGCATTTAGATCTGTAAGACTGTCATTAATATGTGTGTCATTTGTTTAAAACTAGGATTTCGGGGACACTATTCCTGGACATGGCGGCATCATGGATCGCTTTGACTGCCAGTTCCTAATGGCCACTTTTGTTCATGTTTACTATTCAAGCTTCATCAAGTAAGTCATTTCAATATCCAACATGGACATTGAATCATAAACCAATCTAACTTGAATTAGATTAAGCATTTGTATAGAAACAATTTCACACTATCTTTGTGCATAATCATTGGAAATTATTTTTTAAATCTTTGCTTTTATTTTTATTATTAAATTTTAAAAAAAACTAATACCTTTTAAAAAGACTATTGATTAAAGGATTTAAAATAAAACATCACTATTTTAAAAAGTCAATCAATATAGTTATCATTTTGTAAGAAAATAAATATTACAGTGTGCATTTCTAAATTCAAACTCACTGGCTATGGTGTTTTTTATTGTATCAATTTAACCAATTCTGGTTGGCACTGGTCTACTTTGCTGTAGCTATTTGATCCTTCCAAAGAATAGTCCTGGTAGTGCCTTGAAGCTGGACATGACTTTAGAAAGATAATTGGAACATTATATTGCCGTCATGTAAAAGTGTTGATTATACAATAGTAGAAAAGTGGATACTTAATTTCTGAGGCCAGTAAATACCTTACATTATTCCAGTTGGCCAAATGGTATTGTTTTCTGGCTCTTGATGGCAAGCTCTGTTAGTACCAGATATACACTTATGTCATACACTTGTATCTATCGGTACCAGATATAATAATAAACAACTATTCCAATAGATTAAAAATACTATTTATTGGCCCACAGATTGAAATAAGTTTTTATTATTTGATTGAATGAACATTGTTGATTGAAAAGAAAAACACAGTTTGAAAATAAAAAGGTAAAAAAAAAAATTCCCACTTGAATGTTTTGTTTCAGAGTTCTGAATCCACAAAATATAGTGCAGACCGTGTTGATGTTGAAACCTGAACAACAGATTCAAGTGTTTGCCATGTTACGAGACAAGTTAACACAGAGAGGACTCATTGACAACTCCACAATGTCATCTTAAGAAGCCGGCTTGGTGTTAAGTGTTGATTGTATGTTCATTTCATTTGTTTCCACGGTGGATATATTCTCATAGTTTATTCATTTATTTATTCCACGGATTAGTTTTTCGCGCCCATTTCTGCATAAAGAAACTATCTAAGAGTGAAAAAATATATATTTTGGTGCAAACATTATTTCCCTTTGATGATGAATATATTTTTCTTTTACATTTTTTAATTAGTTTGAAATATTTGCTTCTCATACTTGTCCTAAATGTTGGATATAATAAGGACTTATATAATATATCTGTATATCTGTGTGTAGATAATCTGAATATAATGGTTTTTGTTAGATGTTACAACTATTTTTATTGTTTTATTAATGAATAATTGTTGTGTAATAATTAAGTCATGATTAAATTATTATTTCTTTACACTGTAGATAATAGGTACAGATTTTTACATTTGAAACTTATGTTGTTTTAAAAGCCAATTAAGAAATATTGCCACAAATGAAGCACTTAAATAAAGTGTATTGAAACCTTCCAAAAAGAACTCCAGTTCATAAAGTATGGAAATACAATTTTTATAATAAAAAGTGTAAGGTGGGATAATTGTTAACAAATCTAATGCCTTGATGATTGTCATGGCTACCACTGACGATGCCAGGTAATAATGGTACCATCATGATGTCACCACTGATGCCAGATACTAACTAGTGGTACTGTCATGATGTCACCACTTATGTCAGATACTAACTAGTGGTACTGTCATGATGTCACCACTGATGCCAGATGCTAACTAGTGGTACCATCATGATGGCATAAATATTAGTCATAGATTCTTTGTGTTAGAAGCTAGTAAACTTATGGCTTTTTCATCCCCTTTTTTTAAAACGTTTCCCACTTTTAAACTGCAATGGGTTTTCCCTATCAAGAATGGCTATTACTTGATATACAGAAAATTTTACCATTGTCCAACAGAGCCCAAACATAAATGTTAACTCAACCTAGTTGTTTATATTTCTTTAATAGTTGTTCAAAATATCTTCTCCCACCAAGAAAACATTATCATAATGGCTCATACTAAGTTATCCTTGCTTAGAATTGAAAAGACACATGCCTGGAATATTTGTTAAAGATAACATTGGGAGGAAAGCTGGTTTTTATTGGAAAGTACTAAGGTTGACTTGTCCTAATATTAAGGGACCCTTGTACTGTAGTCAATGTAATATTTGACCATGTCATTATCAACTAAAGCTTCATTGTAAGGGGCGAATCAATTATTATTACAATGAGAGAATCAATTTATTATTCCAGTTTCAATGTCCGAACTATATACATTTTTATTCTTTTAAATTATTTGTTGACGTGATTATTAGCAGTTGATAAATACCATTTGTATTAAAATTACATGTTTTTAAAAAAACAAGCCATAATAGAATTAACATTTTTAGTTTTTAAATATGTTGCTTTTCTTTTTTACCATCTGCAATAGATATGTATGTCACATACTACAGATATGTTTGTGATCTCCTATAGATATGTTTGTCACATACCTTACACATTTCTGGAAATAAGTCAAGATATATAGACTATTATGTTTTAAAAAATGTCACATTAAAAACATGTTTATGTCATCTGAGAAGACATCATTTGTAACTTGGACTGTAAGAGCTTTTTGTTTGTTTTTTTTTTTTTTTTGTTTTTTGGGGGGGGGGGGGGGGTTTGCCATTGAATAATCCTGTTTAAATGAGACTTTGTTTCCTCAGTCTGCCGTTATTGACTCAGCTTGTGATTGTTTCATTTATGTTGTCTTACTCATTGGGCAAAGTTTTTAATTGAACCCAGAGCTAGAAATACAACTCCAAATAAAACATGATCAGTTTGACTCTATCCTGCCACCTTTGTACAATCTCAATCTTGACACAAATAGCCAAACCTACCACCTTTGTACAATCTCAATCTTGACACAAATAGTCTCTACCAACTAAACAAGTTGGCTCAAAAATTAAGTAATAAAGATCTGAATTGTGCCAAGATAGAAGTGGTCTTTTTTTTCTTCTTGGCCAAATTTGTCGATTCAGCGAATGACCATATTATGGTGATTTGTTCCCAGATCTTAATCTTGTTCATTTAGCGTTCAATTAATAAAACTGAAACTGCCATTATGTTTGGAGAGTATAAAACAAATTTTAAAGCCTTAAGATACTGCTCTCAATAAATGAAAATGATCAACCAAACTCGATAAAATTACACAATTTCAAGTAGTCCAACAGTTGTGTCAACATTGGTAATGTCAAGTTGTCTGACAGTTGTTCCGGCAATGTCAAGTAGTCTGACAGTTGTGTCAACATGGCGATGTCAAGCAGTCAGACAGTTGAGTCAACATTGGTAAGTCTACATCTTGTAAACCCACTTAAAACTACATATAACAAAAGTTAGTGCTAAACAAAATTAAACTCATGTCAAAACAAATGAATTTAAAACCAAGAAGTTCAATGGAAACTGTGGCTGCATCTCCTTAAAAAAGATATTTAAAAAATTAATTAACTAATATTATAGTGTACTTTTAAAAAAAATATTCTTCGTGATACTCTGCCTATGCTACATTAGAGATTTATTATTAGCTGAACATTTTAGTCTACTCCTCTTTTCTTAACTTAAATGTTCATAATAATAATTGTGTAGAGATGATTCAAATATTGCATAATTTTTCAATGTTAAGTTTTACCAATCGATTACCAAAATGTCTTGCAGAAATTGTTAGGTTTAGATTGCAACCACTCTAGTAATTGTTAGGTTTAGATTGCAACCACTCTAGTAATTGTTAGGTTTAGATTGCAACCACTCTAGTAATTGTTAGGTTTAGATTGCAACCACTATAGTAATTGTTAGGTTTAGATTGCAACCACTATAGTAATTGTTAGGTTTAGATTGCAACCACTCTAGTAATTGTTAGGTTTAGTTTGCAACCACTCTAGTAATTGTTAGTACCTAAACATTTCAACGAATGATGAAACACTGTGCCTAAGGCTTTTCTTTGTACACCAGGTGAACTTGCACCTGAAATTGATTGTGTTTGTCAAGACTATGTGCTACAGACCACTCATGAGTTTTGTGTTTGTCAATACTATGTGCTACAGACCACTCAATAATGAGTTTTGTGTTTGCAAAGTTTCTCTAAATTTTAACAGACATTGTGGAACCTTAACTTAAGATTGCTAATTTTCTGAATTAATTCCACAACTTTTTCCCTCTGTGGTAAACATTCAATGAGATCAAATCAGCATGTTTTGTCTTTAGTTTTATAATAATTATGTTTTAATACAGATGTTTATGATATGGCATGTTTTTTTTATTAAACCAGCTACGAGTATTGTTTATTAAATAGCTTCCAAAGAAATGAATTAGCACTACAATAGCCATTCAGTTTAATAAAGTATATTAAATTAAAGTATTTTAGTTTGAAAAAAATTCAGTGACTATCTATTTAGTTTCATTAATTATATGCATTATGAATTTTCTTGAAAATTCAAGACCAAATGAATTTCAATAAACATTTACATATTTCATGTCAGGACTATAACATTTATTGATATGATTATAGAATAGACTCAAGGTAATATCTGTCTTACGTGTTATTTTATCAATATTTAGTTATGTTATCAAAGTTTTAACAAATATATTTATTCATATGAGCGTATGCTATATTTGTCACATAGAAATTTTCCTTCAATAAAATTGCTGTAATGTTTCCTGACACTACAGGTAAATATTTCCTTATATTACAGGTAAATATTTCCTGATGGTACAGGTACATATTTCTTGATAGTACAGGTGAATATTTCCTGTTGGTACAGATACTATTTCCTGATTGCACTATATTTTAGGCTAGAAAGGATTTACCTTAAACTTACAGATTAAAAATTGTATTTTAATCACAGTTACACATTGTTGCAGGCTTTTCAAACTGTCAACTAAACACTTTCAACTAAATACTGTCAACTAAACACTGTCAACTAAACACTGTCAACTTAACAACTTCCGATCAGAGAATATGTCCATCTTAAAATTAAAAATAAGATTTATTTCCAGGAAATTGAACAACTTTTACACAACAAAATAGAACCATCTTTTACACAACAAAAAAGACCCAACTTTTACACAACAAAATAGACCCAACTTTTATGCAACAAAATAGACCCAACTTTTTTACACAACAAAATAGACTCAACTTTTACAAATGTTTAAATGACTAAGCCACTTAAACTTTACCTTTTGACCATGGTCATATAACAATGTAACTACTTATGTCTCATGCCAGAGTGGAGACCACAGACATTTTTCCATGGCAAGTAAACAACCTAAGTATTTTAAATGAATTAAAATAACATGCAACAGCAAGTAGACCTATATATTATTGAGTACTGAATGAAGTAGAAATCCTCATTAGCATAATATTACACCAATGTTGCTGACCACTGATTAAGTATTAAACAGTTCTACATACTTTGTCTATTCAACATGCAATGTGTCAATTGTTAGTGAGAGTGCATTGCACCAACTAACAAATTTAGCCAGCTCTGGACTCAAACATGAGTCATTTTCTCTAATCTCAAAAAGAATCATTATTTCACTTACATTTCAACTTATTCCTCAAAGTGGCGTAAGCAGGGGCATGCGTAGATGCGTAAGGAAGGGCATGCGTAGGTGGCGTAAGGAGGGGCATGCGTAGGTGGCGGTTCAGTCCACACCTTTATCTTTATAAGGAGTGGCGGCATTTTTTGCCACATGGAGAGTTTCTTAGTGGAAGGGTGGGGTGGCAAAAAATGTTGCTGCCCCTGGTGGCACTAACCCTTGCCACTGATTCCTGATAATCCTATTGAGTGAGGAGTCTAGAAATTTGTGCTCCTGACAACATAAACTTAAAATTGTCAAATTTTAGATTTGAATTTTATGAGTTTTAAAAAATAGATTTATTTCTCAAGTTCACCATTATTAGTCATGTGTATTTTAATCATAAATCAAATTCATTGATCAACTCTAGTTCACCTAAGCACACAGTGTTTCATTGGTTAAATCAAATTCATTGATCAACTCTAGTTCACCTAAGCACACAGTGTTTCATTGGTTAAATCAAATTCATTGATCAACACTAGTTCACTCACATCAGCACACAGTGTATTATAGATTATAACTAAGGTTCCACGTGAACAAACTCAACAATCAAGACCATGCTCATATAACTGAGGCTGTAATAAAGAGTGAGTAGTATGACTCTTCTGTGATTAGACCATGTGATTTTTGCACTTGAAATTTTCTTGTTTTTTAAATAAATTGTCACAATCCAAGCCCAATATTGATATAATTTAATAAATGACTTTTATTTTCATTGCAGAATATTTAAAAAAATCTATTTCTAATGCTTTTGCATCTTGGAGACAGATAAAATAATTTAATGTAATTTTGTTCAACCTATATTCTATACAGAAAGTTATTATTTTTAAAGATGTATCATTATTTGGTCTTTAACTGTGCTAAAACTAAAATCTCCAATTTTAAAGTGCAATCATGTAGATTGTTTGAATATGGCATTTGAATCAATAAGAAGATAAATTATCTCAGGACATCTTATTTAAATTTTAACTCCACATACAACAGCAACTCCTGGCTTTATAATATATGTTAGGGATCTTCAAAGGAGCTAGACATTTTTTGTAAATTGAAAATGTATCAAACTGTGGATTTCATCCCATAATTTTGTAGCTGGAAAATAGTTCAAACTCCTAGTATTGATTTTAATGTTGAGCACTAGTTAAATTCTTGGTTAACTAACACCCCCCTCCCCCCCCCATTCCTTTTCAGCCTGACCCAATTAAAAGGAGGTAAAAGTTTTCAATGATCAAGTCAGTACAATTTGAACCACTTTCATGTCATGTCATCATCTTGTCCATGTCATGCAATGATTTTGTCCAGGTCATTGTGATAATTTTATTATTGATTGTTTACATTTTGTCTGTGTGTGTTTTTTTTTATTAGCCAAATAAAGTGTTGAAACAATTTTAACCTTTCCATTAATTATCATAATTGTGCATTTGATGTTAAACAAATGTATCATCATATGATGAATGCAGACCAAGGGTTATGTTGCACATGTATATCATCTGATGAGTGGAGACCTTGGGTTGTAATGCACAAATGTATCATCTGATAAGTGGAAACCTTAGGTTGTAATGCACAGACATGAAACAAACATGAAACAGGCATGACACAGACATGACACAGGCATTTAACAGACATGAAACAGGCATGAAACAGGCATGACACAGGCATGACATAGACTTGAAACAGGCATGACACAGACATGAAACAGGCATACATAGACATGACACAGGCATGACATAGACATGAAACAGGCATGGCACAGACATGAAACAGACATGACACAGGCATGAAACAGTCATGAAACAGGCATGAAACAGTCATGAAACAGGCATGACACAGACATTAAACAGGCATGACATAGAAATGACACAGACATGACACAGGCATGAAACAAGCATGACACAGGCATGACATAGACATGAAACAGACATGACACAGGCATGAAACAGACATGACACAGGCATGAAACAGGCATGACACAGGCATGAAACAGACATGACACAGGCATGACACAGCCATGAAAC